TCCACTGCAAGACCAGTTCTGCTTCCTTGGAGAGTAAGCCAATGTTGGTCCTTTGATATATAGGTAAATTAGTGAAAACTTATTTACAAGCTGCGGAGATGTGGTTTTGTCGACGAATGATGATAATAACCTGGACAGATAAAAAGATTAACGAGGACGTCTTGATGTAAACCTACTCTCGAAAAGAACTGATTTCCCACATCAGAGAGAGACAATCTACATTCTTTGGTCGTGTGATGAGAAGGATAAAACTGGAGTACTGTGACTGCAGGAAAGTTGGAGGGGAGGAGAGACAGAGGGAGACCAAGAGATCAGATGCTGGACAGTTTGGCATCATGGCATGGAGGATCATCTGTCTAAGAGCTGTTTGAAAGTATTCGAGACATAAGATTGTGGATGGACATAACTTCCAATGCCACACGGTATGGACTTAGAGAAGAAGAATTATTTCGTTACAAGCTTAGAACGCTATCTATTTTTAGACCCACTGTAAGTACAAAGTGCACAATCATGAATGACAAAAGTAGAAGAGATAACAAAACACAGCAACAGGCAGGGTAGGGATCGTACGCTAACTAACCGACGGAATGTTTTTGTTGTAAGTCGGCTGAGTTTGTGTCTGTGTCATAATTTACGGTCGCAGAGACATATAGAAATAGGAGCCTTGGATTACATAATGCTAGTATAAGTATCCGATTTGTTGGGATATAACTGTAACTGTAACTAGTGTCAGTGTCAGTAGTACAAAAATAAAACACACAACTAACAGTTAAAAATAAAAAACAACAAGATTCCTGTTCGTTCTTTGAAAGTTTGCGCAAATAATAATAATGAATTGTGAATGAATTCTTCGATCAATAAACAACTGTCGCGATTTCGAAAAAAAGTTAGTTGTTGTAAGCTCGACTAGTTTCTGGAAAAGTTCATTTTCATTTTGTGAGTTTATGACAGTAATATGTGACATGACATTGACGTTTGTCTTGTCTGATATTATTATTATTTTACTGATTATGTATGAAATTATCAGTTTGATAATAAACAAACTGAGCCTCCCGACTTGATGACAGTTAACAAACGTAACAACGTAAATTTTACATTTCGTTGTTTCCTAAAGATGTGATTCATCATATGTTGCATAACATGTAATAATAGTAATGTTGTGTTCATTGTCAAACCCTCTACCGTCTGCCTTTACTCCTTTAGTTGACTTCCCATGCATTTCCTGATTTTTAGGCTCCACCTGGAAGCTAAACGATTTGCACACTCAGTCAAACACCTACCACTACCATTGTTGGGGTGATAATATGTATTAATACAATAAATAGTAAGTAAAAGTAAAGTACTGTGAAGTAAGTTAAAGATCCATTTTCACGCCTTTAGGCGCTTCGGGCATATGGGAAGAGCACCCATATTTTTACAGACCCTTCAGTACTAGAAATGTGGTCAGCATTACCCCAGCTGTCTTTACTTCCCCAGGACAAACATCCTAGTACCCATTTTTAGGCTGGGTCAATCTGTGGTGCCCCATACCATGATAAAAAATCCACGTAGCCAGCGGTGGATTTTGATGACGGTACGTTGGAATTACAAGACAATGAATAGTAAATACAAGTTTAATAATAAAAAATAAAACACCATTGTAGAAAAATTAGCTGCACTGGTGTAGCGGCTAGCTGCTTGTGAAGGTCATGGGTCAGTCCTAGTGGACTTTGGCTCCCAGATTGACCCAGCCTTAAATTAAGTTAAATGGGTACCAGGTAAAAACCTGGGAAGTAAAGGTAGCCGAAAGTGATGTTGACCACGTCACCCGAACAGTGCTGATTGGTCTATAAAATATAGCTCTAGCCACATATGGCCAATATACACCTGAAGGTGTGGTAAAGGGTTCAGCAATCCTTGCAACGGCAACCTTAGGGGAGACACTCTAATGTAAGTTAACATTACTGTAAGTGCCAACCCAAGGGGATTTAATCCATTGTTTGTGTAAGTTCACATAATACTAATATTCTTTCATGTTTGATATTAGGGGTAACCCTAACCCACTCACTAACCCAAACCCTTACTCTAAGTTAGTAACTTTAATCTCAAACAATGTTAAATATGAAAAAGTATTAACATTACATAAACGTTGGGAGCAGGTGCACCTTTCTGCAATAGCAAAAGCAGACTACTTCTGAATGTAATATTCCCTACCCTAGTAAAATTTCACAAAAAGCCAATAAATGATGAGGTTTGGTCATGGCGTCCTTTGCCTTTTTTGTACCTGCGGTCCACCAAAACGGGGGAAATATTTTGCGACCCACCGACAGCTAACCAAACACATAAACAAACAAATGTTGATAGAAGTTTGTTAAATCCAGTGTCACAAAATTACAGTTTTCACCAAATGTGACATCTGCTTAGAGGTTAGAAAATCTGGTGTTGTAGTGCCGGAATTGTATCATCACCACCGGAAGTCTGACCGGACTATGTATTGTAATTATGTAATTGTAGGAAGACCTAATATAACTTTTGTATATGGTTGGATGATGTTTTTTGGACCTGTTTGATTCTCATCCAGGAGGGTGCAATCTTGGAAATGATAAACTACCCACCCTACCAAGTTACATGATTAGGCAGACATTTGTTGGCGCCCCACTTGGACATTTCCACGGGCCCACTGTTTAAAGAACATTGCTTTAAAGGATTTGCAACTTACTTGAAACAGTTGAAGAAAAAAAAAACACAAACACACAATAACTCTTTCAATACCCAAAAACTAACCATTCATTTATTAGTTACTCAACCTAATGTTTGCTGTTTTTACTTGTTTCCTATCACTAACAGTTATGATATTAACTTACTTAATATGAATTGTGCTGTTAATTCTTTCTGATCATTAGTGTTAATTTTTACATATAAATATATAAACATCTGTGCCATCTTCGCAGTAAAGGTTGGCTACAGTGTTTCTCTTTTCTTACCTTTGTTATCTTTGGGATGTTATTTTTGGGAGTCTGTGTAGTGAGGCCCCAATCTCGTCCAGAGCCTGACTCTTGTACCATTGTCCAAAAACCATGAGAACGATTTAAAAACCGTCCACTGCAGGAGACGAATCCTAGTATTGGAGGATAATGAAATTGTTAACCGCATTTGCTAACCTCTAAGCCACAGGGCTACACATACATATTAAGACACAAATGCTAGCTGTTTTGAAGTAGAACTTATTATAGAAAGAGTTAAGGAATTATTTGCTGGTGTTGAAAGAGTTAACACTTTAACGTCTGACATTTTTCATGCTGCTATTGATTCTTTGAAAATTAAATGACTTAAACAGAAAAGTAACTAAATTAACAGGTTGTAGTAGTTTAGCTGTTGTTAATTTATGTTTGTTGGCAGCCTTTCAATAATTGTGCAAATGGGAGTGACCCAGAGGATTTGATAGGCACTCAGTGTTTAGACAATAGGTAAGGTGAACATACTGATCAAATTTCAACTGGCAACATTAATATTATAAATCTGTGCTTGGTGCTGAAGATAAGGACGGAACATTTATGTGAATGCCCCAAATGCTGTGATGTAGGTTCTTAACTAAACCATTTGTTAGCAACATAGTATTTTTAATGTCATTGAGCACTTTCTAGTCCTAATTAATATCGCATAGGGTATTGATTTTATTGATTTCACCTTGAAATGAGATCCGTCTATCAGTTATTGTAGCCGTCCATTCACACAGTCAGGTATGCAGAAAATAGCATCAGTAAAACTGAAACCTGTATGATATTTTCATGTGTTTTCAGTTATCAACAGGCAGACAGGGAAGATGATGTGGATGGCCATGTTTAAAAAGTTAGTTGCACATTCTTTACAGGATTTTGCAGAACCAACACCAGCATTTATTGGCTTTTTGTTTTTTATAGAGAGGTTTATGTTCAGTAGTTTGCCATTGCTTTTTTATCGGCTGGCTCTCTATACCATTTTCAAAACTAACGCAAGAAATCGTAAATTGTAAATCACCTGCAGCTGGAGTCGATTCGGGTACCTCAAAACTTCGAAGCACATTTTCAGTGCCACGCCATAGACCTGACCCCCCTCCTGGGGATGTTTAAGCAGTAATAGTAGTAGTTCTGCCAAACTAAATACTTCAGATCCTGACATCTGGCTAAGACAAATAAAACATCTTCTTATTTTATTTTCAATTTTTTTTACATTTATTTTAGCATTAGCAGCTTTTTTTTTTTTTTTTTTAAACAAATTTCCATTAGTGTCATATGACTAAATAATAATGATAATTTTGGCAAGAAAACAAAAGGTCTGTGTACATACATGCCATCACATCATATTTGGGATATGTCACCCATGTCCACTGGAAGAAGTGGCACTTGACTGGTTATGTGGTTGTTATTGATGCTGACTTCCTGGAATATTTGTGGGTAAAGATTTTGTGGGATTCAGTCAACTCCAGGGACTTGTGGTCCTGAAAATTAAATCATTAATCTGATGACAGTGGGTGCCATCAGTGAGGAAACTCTTCCCTGGCTGAGGGTGACGGAGTTAATCTAGGCTTGTCCTGAATGCTGTAATGTTGAATCTTTGCCCAGAAGAAACAATTCTCTCTTTGAGAAGATATTGACTCATGACTACAGAAATCCTGAAGTGATTAAACCATTTATCTCAAAGTCTCAAGGTTGCCAGTTTGATTTCCGACTCCTTCCTTTTGTTAACAAATACAGATTGTTCAGAGATTCTTGAAGCCCACTGTTGCAGCAACAGAGTTTGTGCTTTATGTGACTGCTCTCCTTTAAACATGTTTTACGGAAGTATTGTTTAACATTTGACATGCAGGATTTAATATTTGAAATAATGGCGTCATATTTGGAATGATTTACTTTCAGTAAAATGGTAGTAGTCTAGGGACTGTATATTTACAATTTATCTTTCTCTCATTTGTAGTGAATTATAGCTTGAAAATATGACTGATAATTCAGTTGATGCACGAGAGGTCCACCAAATAGAAGAAAATGCTTGAAGGACTAGCAGCATGGGTGCTGAACACATATGTAGGAGAGTATGTAGAAAACCTTAACACAGCACAGCTCTCAATTGCTCTTCTTCAAGGTAAGTCTTGATGACAGTTAAAAAAAAACATTTATAGTATTTTTTTTTTAAACCTTTAAGAGAAGAAGCCAATTACAAAACTTTTGAAAACAGTCTTATGATAAATCTATAGACTCAGAGATGCCATCATAAAAGATTGGAGAGTGAGAAATTAATAATCTGTTTCAATCACCGCCAATTACTGGCATCATAAAGACTAATAGACTGCAATTGTGGGGCCATATAGAGGGAATGGCAGATAACAAAGAGGCAGAAACTACCTACACAGAAGGATTGATGGGTAGTAGACCACAAGGCAGACCTAGAAGATGGGGGAGAGATAATATACAAACATATGCACTAACACTCAGAATCACCAACTGGAAAGAGGCCAGTCACTCAATGAACTAAGGCAGGTGATTTTTGAAGTAGTGAACCTTAAGAGCTCAGAATTCTGAAGAAGAATGAGTCTACGATTCTTCATAGGTAATGGGTTGCATCTGTTGACAGCGAAGTACCCCAAAACCCATGGAGTAAACATGACCAACTATGCTTGATTCTAGCAACTCTGTATATCTCGTGCATGACACGCTGATATCCTTATATGCTTCTTAGAGGGTGTGGCATTTGTTCATGCACATCCAGCTGGTTTCTAGGCTGCAACCATGTCCCCATTGAGATGAAACTTGGGTACTGGGCTGGGAAGGAGGGAAGGAAAGATCTGGAACCATTAAGTGATACAAAAACAGGGATGACTGTAGTGAAGCTAGTAACAAGAAGTTAATCGACTAACTGCTTAGTCGACCTTAGCAGTTGGGAGATAACTACTACTGATTATTCCTATGTTGGCATTATGGCTTTTGAACTGTTGTGAGTCAAAGAATCTATACAAAGAATTTCTGCGAAAAAAAAAAGAATGAGGGCAAATGCCATTTTCTTTCCTCACTGTAACAGATTTTAAGCTCATATAGGGCTAACATATCTCCAGAGCTACTCTGTGGCTGATAGGTGGCACTTCTCTATCCTGGCTGGTTTATGTGGCATGGGTTCATTTCACGATCTGTGAATTTCAATTCATCGCTGCAGTTTTTCACATGTTCAGCTGCACAAGACAGTACAGTTTTGGTGGCAAAATTCTAAAAGCGACCCCCAAAAAAAGTTAATAAGCCATACGGGATTAAACCCCATGCAATGAAATCGATCCTCTACACCTGGCTGTTCAGCTATGTTACTCAGGGGCCAAAAGTACGAAAAATAGGGATCAACACAGGCCAGAGGGCTGAACCCCAGCGTAGAAAGATAATTATACAGCTGGCAATGATCCACGGGCCACATGCTAGGCCTCCGTGGGCTGATTTGACCTGTCGGGCTGCCACTTGAATAGCGCTGCTCTTCACGTTGTCCTTACTGCCTGTTGATTGAAAATCTATTAACTGTACTACTAGAAAGACATTTCTCTATAGCTCAGAGGATAAAAGAAATACCACAGGGTCTGAAATTACATGGGAAAGAGAATTACAGATAGCAATGGAGATGAATGAAAAGGAGAAAACAATTGTGATATCTGTAAGCTAGGATGTCTTGGCCTGGGTTGGTTGAGCCCTGTGTTCCACAGAAGGATACAGGACAGAAGAAGAGGAAGTGGCATCAGTGGCAGAATTTATAAGCATCACTTGACCACATAAACCATTCTTATCATATATCAAAATCTAAATTCATTTATACAAATTTCAGCATTGAAGATATTCAACATGTTTAAAACTTTGAGATCAGTCAATGCATTGCAGTATTGATGATAACCTTTTGTCCTTGCCTGTGATGCTCAGACAACAACATGGAGCCTCACACGGACTGAACCATATCAGAACCCCACAATCAGAGAAGATTGACAACCAGACAAGGACAGGGGACAGCATACAATACCCCTGGATGAAACCACCACATGGGATTTAAGGAGTAAAGCCACAATTACACATCCAGACAATGGATAATAAAAGTGGATCCCTCCTCTGGATCACAGGACCAATGGTACAGCTAGGAGTGACTAGGCTCCCCAAATGGGTTTCAGGGCCCTTTTATAGGGAAAACAAGAATAGACCCACTGCCACCCCAACAAGCCTGTCGACTAATTGAGGGCTTCCTTCGAAGTCAGATGCATCTGCCTGAGAGGCAACAACCAACAGTCTGCATACAATTAAGTGAGATCTGTTAAACAAACGTGCATGCAGTGCTCAGATTATAGAACAGGACTAAAGTCCAGAGGTGGACAAACAACTAGAACTTTCAGTCAGAGTTTACAGCCTGTGAACGCAAAGAAGAAGGATAAGACTAGGCAATCTGGGCGACACTCTGGTATCATCGGCATTTTAACTCTTTGCTGGCTGAGATGTTGAGATAGTGCTTATAGGAATGTCTCAAGTGCTATGCTGTCGGTTCTTAACTAATCTTAGTTTACTTCTTTTGTATCAGGAGCTGTTGAACTGGAAAATCTGCCACTAAAGAAAGATGCATTGAAAAGTTTGGATATTCCAATTGAAGTCAGATCAGGTATGAAGTTATGCATTCGTTTTTCATTAGTTCAAATCCAAACGTTAGTGTATTTTTGTGGTAATTGACCTTGACTGCTGGGTCGGCCCGCCCTAAAATGAGAAGTAAAGGTGACCATATTATCTCATGAGTACCAGTTGATCTATAAGGTATAGGTTTGATATTCCTGATTAAAAAGAGTCCTTTACTTTATGTCATAAGGCAGGTCTGAAAATTTTCCTTGATCTCTTTTCACACGTGTGGCTGGTTGTTTTTAATTTATATGTTCTTTTTGCCACGTTGTCAAGCTGTCTAGCATTATCTTTCCATGTCTGCCTCTGTTTCTCTTCACTTCTAACTTTTATATTGTCAGCATTTTCCAGTTAACTCCCTCTGCAACTTGCCCAAAGTATGTGAGTTGCTTACTTATGATACCAATAATTATTTCTCCTCATAGGTTGTTTTGAATAGATATGCAGTTAATTGCATACAAGTTGAACAGTTTCTTTATGTATATGAATCAATGCTTAAGTTGGGAAGTATATCTTGATCATGTAGGTTTTCATAAACATCAAGTACCTTAATGTAGGCGATAATGGTTCTCCACATCTTGCTACTTCTAACATTATGTCTGCTGATGACTTTCCTTTTGCCATTTATACCCCAATGGAGCATAGGCCCTCAGCCAACTCACACCAAGTCGTCTTATCCTTTGCTATTGCATGCACCTAACCCCATGTCCTCCCCGTCTTTTTAACAGCACTCTTTAGCTCTCTTCTCCGTGTGTATTTTGGTTTGCCTTTTTTTTCTTTGGGTCCCATTGCAAGAAAATTCAGGTTATACTGTTTTAAGTTTTCTCAACATGTTTCCTATCCATTGCCAGCATCTTTTCCTCACCTCTTTACTCACCTAATTGTGTTTAGTGTCCATCCAAAGCTCCAATTTAGTGATTCTATATTACCATTTAATTCCATCTATTCATAATCGATCATGAAGCTATGGGAATTCATAGAAAAGAATTCTTAAATCAGCCACTTTACACAGGTCACAATTTGTTACATTTTTCTACATTTTAAAATTAAAAAAAATAAATGTGTGAATATACATCCATAGGGTAATCAGTAAGCACAAACATAACAAAGCATGTCATGACCTACTGAGGCTTATGGGAAAATTTGACATCAGCTTGGCTTTAAAAAATCCATTGGGGTCATAGGGCAACCTGCTCCCTAAATACTCTCTTTAGTTTCTATATCCATATCCTCACCTGTTAAACACTGTGCAGGTGCACATAGAACCAGTGTAATTTAACTACGCTTTTTTGAGAACCGAACTGGTCACTGCAGACAAGAACATATATCAGCATTTTTGGGACGTTGTCACAACCGCAGGTGACTAGATTTAGTCTTCTCTGGGCAGTGGCATGGTTGATGAATGTTTGCAGTTTATTAGTATTTTAGTATTTGTTTCAGCTCCACAGAGCAGTAGTGATTTGACATTTTGGTTGAATATTTTAAGTCACATACTAGTTTTAATTTCCTTTGACACCTTTACATACCTTCACAAAGGGTTGACAATGATTATCTCTCTATCCTTCTTTCCCCAAATCTTTCTCGTTATTACATTTTCTGCTCATTCTCTTCTGCATTACATTGCATGTTGTAGATTTGGGCATTAAGATAAAACACTTGTTGACATTTCAGGCTAGAGAAAATACTCCATTGGCTGTATTGATACATCCTCACATGTTCAAGCTTTTCTTCATTGTTAGATTGGGGTTGTTGTTTAGCCTGTTGTAAAATATTTTATTAGTTCAGGCTGGCTTCCAGGGAATGCTCTGTTACAACTATGCAGGTGTCTTTTGGGTTGTAGATAGGGAAAGTGCCCAGGTGTTACTGAGGTCTTAAGCAATGTAGCCCAGGGTAGTGACATAAACCTTCACACCAAGAAGCCCCTGTGCACTTCACCTTGTAAATAAGAAGGATCTTTACAAAATAAGATGGACAGGATTTACTAACATCAGGCATTTAATTTGTTTCTCAGAAAAGTACCCCTCCCCCCATCTCTCTCTTTTTTTCTTTCTGCTTGTCTGCCTCTCTGTCTGTCTGCCTGCATGTCTCTGTCTGTCTGTCTGCCTGTCTGTCTGTCTCTCCTTTCTCTCTTTTTCTCTCTGTCACCATCTCTCTGATGCTTTCATCATTGCAGATAAGAAGACTTGATTTTGTTCTTGCCATTTGTGAGCCTCATTTAGTTTGATGCCTTGTGTGTCTTGAACCCCGTCACCCCAAGAAGACTAAATCTGGTCACTTTTGGTTGTGCCTTGTCTCCGTAAATGCCGATATATGTCCATGTTTGCAGTGACCTGTTCTTGAAAAGTGTAATTAAATTCCGTTGGTCGTATGTGCACCTGCATGATGTTAAGTAGACATCATAAAGTAAGGATACATTTTTGGTTTGTTTTAAACGCCACAGGTAATGTATACATTCAATGCTTGTCTCTGTTCATGTTTATTAATAATCCCTTTATGTATCCTAATATATTTCCCAAAACATTCACAAATGTAGATAAATAAATTTAAACATTAATTATGGAGGAAAGGCTGGCCAAATAGTTAGAATGCTTTGCTCTCACACGGGAGACCCGAGTTAGAATCCTTTGTAAGGTTGGTGATTTTTTTCTGTCGGGGCTGAATAAAATCCACACTAGCCATACTGCCGTAAATCCTCAGGCTCATGGACCTCCCACCCCACCGCCTACATTGCAAAAGTGATATTATAAAGGCAGTAATTGGCAGTTTTTAAATATAAATTATTCATTACCTGTATAATATTCTATTTTTAAAGATTAAAGAGTAAAAGATGGAATTATATTTTGCACTTTCTCTGGGAATAACTTCCAGCACTTTCAGCTTTCTTATTCTCCCACCTATGTTACCTCCCTTTCTTCCACATCTACATAATTATGTTACATTTTTGCTTCTCCTTCCCACTCTCCATTATCCTCTTCAGTACTGCTCCTTCTACCATCACCCCCCCCCTCCCCACATCCTCATCATTTTCCTCTAACTTTCCAATCTCTGTTTATTCTTTGGACACCTAACTCTTTCTCTTATTTACTTCTCTTGTTTATACTTAGTTCATTTTCCTCTCATTTTATTCTTGTATGATTAATTTATTTATGATCTGTACCTTAGGGGTTAACTCTACCAGACCGCTGGCCCGCTATTACAGGAATGTCCTAATCTGCTGTTAACTCGCAGTCCCTCAATGTTGGGAATTTGCGTACTATGAGAAAACAGTGCGTCACAAACTAAAAATAACTCGCCAATTGTAATCAGATCTCGCGAATAGTCTTCTCAAATTTTCGCCAGCACGTGTTTGGATGAAATTTGTGTTGATTTACGTGAAAAAATTATGAAAATTCACAATAAAACGAGCGGCTGATGAACCAAGCACTTCGACAGGAAAGTGAAGTAGGTCTAGGCTTTTCACAGTCCAACAGGTGATCGATACTTTGGTTGATTTAGACTCGGCAGAGTCATAATTTCATGAAGAATACATTTCCAGTTGAAGTGACACAGTGAGAGCTGGAATGATGAGAAGATTCTTGAAAATTATAAATCTAGAAATAGATCAAAAGTAAGAGAAGGGGGCGTTTCCTTCAAACAGCAACATCTCGTGTTCACTTTGTGAAACAAAGTTGATCCTGCTGGATGGATTAGCACACAAAGGTGGAATATTGGCGCAAGATAAATGGTAAACCTATTTTCTACAATGTCTCCAAGTTTCATCTTATTTTAGCCACTTGTTTGCATGTAAGTCATTTTTTTGTATATCATGTTGGCTTTTTCGCGTTAATGCCCAGGAGCTCATGTATAGGAGGCAGTTAGGTTCAGGGCCTCAGGTCCGGTAGGGTTAAATATGCAGTTTAGAATTCTAAAAACTTTGGTTCAATTCCAACTGTGGGTGACTTGGCAGCAGACCGCTTTGTGTGGATTTTGAAAATGGTATAGAGCACTGGCCATTCAGAAAGCAATAGCAAACTACTGAACCTAAAATTGCCTAGTGAAACCACAAGTTGCAAACAAATGCCAGGGTTGGTTCCTACAATGGATACGCAGCTAACTAGACAGCTAAGCAGCTTTGGGAGAGCACCAGCAGTAAGTCTTGTAGTTCTTCAGCCATTAAAGTGGGATTTATTCATGTAAAATATCATCATGAAATAGTCAACAATTCAATTAATTTCAGGCTTCATTGGAAAGATCACACTGCAGATTCCTTTGCGACGGCTGAGAAGTGAACCATGGGTAATATCCATTGAGAAGTTGTACATGGTCACTGGACCATTGGCTAAACTTTCTGTAAGAGCTGAGTTGTGAAATTGTTTAATTTATTATCAAGTTTGATGTTCTAAATAAATAGTTTAGATATCATGTACTGGCATGGCATTGCCGTGATAAAAGGTATTCTGTAAAAGTTTGATTTCACAACCTACATCCTTGTATGATGTGTATGTGAACTGCAAGGAGCTTTGCATAAACTGAGGGGAGTTAAAGATGGTCATCTCAGCACTTGAGACATTCTCATAAGGGTTCTGTCCCTGTCTTCAAAACCTGTGCTGATGATACCAGTTGCATTTTCATTATATGTCTTTCTTGCCTTTCTTCTGAGTGTAGACTGTTGAATTTGGACAGTGCCTAGTTGCTCCCCACTGAACCATTTTCTCTAGACCATAGTGATTTTGTGTGTGGGTGCTTCCCCACTGTTCTCTTGCTCTCAAAAGGCCCGTGGCAACATTTAGCTTGTCGTGCATCAGCTCACCACCCAGTGGTGCAGAATCAGCCACTCTGCCTGTTTGTTCATGTCCGAACACATTTACATACTCTGGAGTACAAGATCTAAAGGATGCTAACTGTGGTGGATCTCTGAAGCGATGCTTTGCCACTCTTCACAGCGCATGCCTTTCTCCACATCAGTTAAATGAGGTGATTAGCTCTTAGCAGCACATTTTTAAGAAAAATTTTAAGAGCAAAGTAAAACCTAATGTCCCCCTTTCTGGGCCGAGAATCTAGATATATAATTGATCAGCTACTGTCTTTTTTTGTTGTGCCTGTGACGTTTTCTGCACTAAAATGGTAGATTGCGGGCGCAATGGTGGATGGCAGATTACGTTCAGAATAAAGTATCTTTGCTGGCGCAGTGCTGGCTTTCATGATTGACTTTTTGCACCAATAGTGAGCTGCAAATCTAATGTGAGACTGACAGTTTTTTGTTTAAAATGGGGCAGTGAAGGTTCCCACTGGCCCAGGAACGGAGCATTTATGGGGCAAGCAACTCATCTACGGTAATATTGGGGCCTCGACTAATGACGGCCAAAGTAGATACTCTTTTTTATTGAATATTTTGCAGTGTTGCCATGGGTAATTTTTTTGTTGGAGCCTCGACTAATGACGGCTAAAGTAGATACTCTTTTTTATTGAATATTTTGAAGTATTGCCATGGGCCATTTTTTGCATTAGTCATATTGCTGTCTTAGCAAGACTTTCTAGTACCATGGTTTACTTATTATTGATTTTATTGCTGAGAAAGATAACAGACATTTGTACTTAAATTATTACAGTTATTATTACCTGCTACCCCTCATCTTTCTTTCTTATGTATGTATGTATGTATGTGTGTATGTATGTATGTATGTATGTGTGCATGTTCGTATGTATGTAGATGTATGTGTGTACTGAGTGCCTATGTGTTTGTGTGTAAGTGAGTGATTTGGCTTGTGTGTGTATGTGGGTGTGTGTGTTCGCGCGTGAGCGTGCACACGTATTTTACCACCCATGCTTTTGTTTTTGACTTTATATATATAATATGCATATTATTACATAAATATAACATGCTTCATTGATGAAACACAACTGCTGTGCAAAAGATGGAAGTTTAGAAGGGCCGAATGTAAGACAGGCCTGCGTGCCTAATTTGTAACCCATTGGAAATAAAGTTCGTTCGTTCATTATTATATTTTCTTCATTATATATATTCAGTTCATTTGGCAGTAAACACAACAGATTAAAGCTGAGTATAAACACAGTATAAACAATAGATAATGGTAATAAAAGAAATATATGGAGAGAGAGAGAGAGAGGAAGACAATGCAAGAAGATTTTTGACAGCTTTCTGTCATAGTATGGAGTGGTGTCAACACATGAACTAATACACGCTGGTGCAGATCGATGATTGTGGAGAGGCATGATCACCCATGTCACATGGCAAGGCACTTGATGTTGATGATGAAAGAATGACTGTATGCTGCACTGGAATCCACACAGCTGAAGAAATATAGGGATATTATAAAAAACATTATGAAGTAGAGACCTCTGCTTCTTCTTTGTGGTCACCGGCTGTAAACTCCGGCAGAAAGTTCTAGACTTTGATCTTGTTTCAAAACTTTAGTTTTGCATGTACATGGATATTTTTCAGATATGGTTTATTTGTGTGCAGACTGTTGGTTCCTCGACTCTCAGGCAGAGGGATTCCAGCTTAGATGGAAACATCCCTAATTAGTCACCTTTTATAACATGCTTGTAGGAGCAGTTAGTCTTACTTATCCCCCCAAAAACCAACACGGGGAAAATTAATAATATGGAAAGGACATGAAGTTAACTGCACACCTCAGTAGAGAACAGGAAACCTTGATGAAAGAAGAAGAATATGATGAAGAAAACAATAGACTGCATATGTAATGAAACATACATGTAGGCATAAGTCATTTGACTGCTGCATACTTGTACATTTCTAAAATTTATCTAAGCAGTTGTACAAAGAATGTGATATTTTACTTGAATATTTTAGTGATGTCCCTTTTCTCTCTTGTTTTCTTTTCAAAACTGAACATGCAGTATGATGAAGAGAAGGAGAAAAAATATGAGCAGGAACAGAAGAAAGTGATGCTAGATGCCCTCGAAGAGAAATGGAAGGTAAGGTTTCTTTATTAGTGACCTTACTTTTGCTATTTTGAAAAAAGAAAATGTTTTCATGAATTTTCATTGGGTCATCACCCATTTGTTAGCTTTCCCGGGTAAAAAGGGTTAAATGATATGATAATTTGCTGCTGAGTAGTGTTAGTGTAAGTCCTATATATTGTACACTAGATGAGATAAGAAGAGTTTGGAAGTGTGCTAGGCAATTTATTCTCTTGTGTATACTCAAGTCCTCACTACATGAATTGGGATGTACAAGTCGACCTCAAGATTTGTTTAAACACAGAATTTTCAGTTATACCCCTACCTACTGTATCGTAAAGGACCCCTTTCCACGCCTTCAAATGTTTTGGTCATATAGGGTTGGGCCTATATTTTATAGACCAATCAGCACTTGGTGGGTAATGAGGTCAACATCACGCTGGCTGCCTTTACTTCCCAGGACTATACCTGGTAAACACTCAAGGCTGGTTCATCTTGGGAGCCAAGGTCATTTGAAAAAACCAAAAAAAGTCCACCTCCATCCTGACCCGAGCCTATGACCTTCTGATCCGCAGGTGAGTGTCAGGCTGCTACCTACTGTATAGGTTGACCCCCAAACATACAGTTGGCCACCAGTAGCTAAAACTTGGACAACGCCGCTTACCTGTCTATTGAGACGCTAACCATTACAGAATACTGAATTTATGTTACAATTTTATAATAATTTTCATGTTTATTTGCTAAATATGTTCGCCAAACACACAAAGTATTGGGATATTTATGTGTTGACCTGCTGGAGGTACCTTAAGGGGTGTACAGTTATTGTTAGGAATGTTTGTTTCGTGTATTTTGACAGTTGTGTGTTTGCTTGTGCCTTGTCTGCCAGTTTTGCTGTATTATTTATTTCAAATATTGATTTTGTTTCAGATCTCACAGGGAGTGCAGCAGGATGCCTCATCCTCATCGTCATGGTTTTCTTATGGAACTTCCATGGCTGCGAACATTTTGGAAAATATCCAGGTGGGCTGGTGGAAGATAACATGCTTCATTGAATCTCTAACCGTCTTTAACCGTCTCACCTTGAAAAGCACAAATTCGAGTGCATCCAATTTGTGCCACTACCCCTAAATGTCAATTTCTCAGCTTGCTATTGAGGCTTGTTTACGAGGAGCCCCGCTAACAGCATTGCTTCCATTTTCTTTCTTGGCAGACTTTTTAGAATGACCGGTGATGACTATAGGTGGGGTTTTCTTGTGGAAAATGACTATATAAAACAATTTTTTTAAAGCTTAGAGGGATGTAACCCAGTCAGTTTCTTTACCCCATTTATGTTTATTGATTACTCCTATAATTTTGTATGCAGTTAAATATTGATTTGGCCCATAAATGGAATTATTATGATTTTTGTGTGTGATGTGTAAAATGTTTTTTTTTTAAATAAAAAAATATATTTTGGGAGAAAATCCAAAATTCCATAAATACAGGTTTTTTTGTCACTGTTATTTCTAGCCATGGAAGATGTATTGTCTATAAAAGGTCATAGAGCTGGAGAATTGGCTATAGAAAGAGATACTTTCAGGCGTACTTTAACAGAAGCAACATTCTGTAAAGGACCTACTGGTTGATGATGATGTCTATCCATCTCTTTCTTGGTCTTCTTCTGATTCTGTATGTAGGTTGGTTTTGATTATTGTAAATCTGACTGGCAGTTGATTAGGTTTAGTTCTCATAAAAGGTCCAAACAAGTTTGTTTGGTTTCTCAAACACTTTGAAAACCGTTGAACATACCATATATTGATTTATAATGTATTTCATTGTCTTTTAGTAACGAAAGAGCTAATACAACCAACGTATGATGTTTTATTTTATCATAATTATGGGGATAACTGTGTTTCCATAATTCTAGTGATAACTGTGATTTTATAATTCTGGTGATAACTGTCTTTTTATAATTCTGGTGATAACTGTGTTTTTATAATTCTGGTGACAACTGCGTTTTTATAACTTTAACTAATATTAGGAACATAAGTAAGAATAAGTAAAGGACCCTTTCCAAGCCTTCGGGCATATTGGGCTAGACCAAATTTTATAGACAAGTCGGCTCTTATTGGGTAATGTGGTCAACATCAGACCGGTCGCCTTCACTTTCCAGGACAATACCTCGTACTTACTCAAGCATGGATCGACCTGAGAGCCAAGGTCATAAAAAAAAATAAAATTCAGTATGCAATGTATGTAAAATGTGTGACAGTATTTTACAGTTACTTAGAACAGTAATAAAGTTATATCAGTGCAAATAGTTTTTTTTTTTTAAATATGCATTTTTTCTCTTTTCCCAGCTAAATGTGAAAAATGTTCACATTAGATACGAGGATGATAAAACCAATCCATCATGTCCGTTTGCTGCTGGCATCATCATCAAGAACCTGAGTATACAGAGCACAGATGCATCATTGGTCAGTTCTGGCACTTCCTTCATTGTGGAATATATTTATATTGTCGAACGAATGAAGTTCAACCCCCCCCCCCTCCCTTCCCAACCCCAGGACTGCACAGCGAGCGATAAACACCCAGTGACACAAAGTTCCACAATTCAGATGAGAATCACCCGGCACAGGTCCCATACAGCCAGTTCAAATGTTAGGTTTTAGTAGGGTCCCCGACAGCAGTTGGGATGGGGCTTTAAGATGAAATAATAAAAAAGAAATTGCATTCCATATTGGGACTGTTTCAATGTTCTATTTATATTGTCCACATATTTATGCTTGCTTGTTGTACCCCACCAGGTCCTCACACAGGCGATAAACACCCGGTGACACAAAGTGCCACCATGTAGATGAGGATCACCTGCGGAGAGGTCCCAGAAACCCCTTTCAGCCGTTCTGGCCACAATTGTGGCCTGGCTATATTCAGGGTCCCCGGCAAAAGCCAGGGTGGGGCTTCAAATAATAAAAAATTGCATCCCACATTTATATTTAAATTCAAAAATCCACATGGGGACGACCAATTTATACATGTTTATTATTACTTCTACCAAAGCTCATTTTACAGTTCGAAATGTTAATGATTGTAGAGATAACAGTTTGTTAAGAAATCAACACTAAACATTTTATTTTCCTAACAGGCAAAAAAATTCATTGTGAGACTTTATGGTGTTCATCGCAGAATATTTTGTGTGTGGTTGTGATCTAAGGGTGGCATCACTACGTTATGAGATGGATGAGTAATTTCTCTGTTCTTTCTTTGTCTTTACTTTCCAGACATTGACTTCATTTTCCAGACATTGACTTCATTTTCCAGACATTGACTTCATTTTCCAGACATTGACTTCATTTTCCAGACATTGCCTTCACTTTCCAGACATTGCCTTCACTTTCCAGACATTGACTTCACTTTCCAGACATTGCCTTCACTTTCCAGACATTGACTTTACTTTCCAGACATTGACTTCACTTTCCAGACATTGCCTTCACTTTACAGACATTGACTTCACTTTCCAGACATTGATTTCACTTTCCAGACATTGACTTCACTTTCCAGACATTGACTTCACTTTACAGACATTGACTTCATTTTCCAGACATTGACTTCATTTTCCAGACATTGACTTCATTTTCCAGACATTGACTTCATTTTCCAGACATTGACTTCATTTTCCAGACATTGCCTTCACTTTCCAGACATTGCCTTCACTTTCCAGACATTGACTTCACTTTCCAGACATTGCCTTCACTTTCCAGACATTGACTTTACTTTCCAGACATTGACTTCACTTTCCAGACATTGCCTTCACTTTACAGACATTGACTTCACTTTCCAGACATTGATTTCACTTTCCAGACATTGACTTCACTTTACAGACATTGACTTCATTTTCCAGACATTGACTTTACTTTACAGACATTGACTTCATTTTCCAGACATTGACTTTACTTTACAGACATTGACTTTACTTTCCAGACATTGCCTTCACTTTCCAGACATTGACTTCACTTTCCAGACATTGACTTTACTTTCCAGACATTGCCTTCACTTTCCAGACATTGACTTCACTTTCCAGACATTGTCTTTACTTTCCAGACATTGTCTTTACTTTCCAGACATTGACTTTACTTTCCAGACATTGACTTTACTTTCCAGACATTGACTTCACTTTCCAGACATTGACTTCACTTTCCAGACATTGCCTTCACTTTCCAGACATTGACTTCACTTTCCAGACATTGACTTCACTTTCCAGACATTGACTTCACTTTCCAGACATTGACTTCACTTTCCAGACATTGACTTCACTTTCCAGACATTGCCTTCACCTTCGAGACATTGACTTTACTTTCCAGACATTGACTTCATTTTCCAGACATTGACTTCATTTTCCAGACATTGACTTCATTTTCCAGACATTGACTTCATTTTCCAGACATTGACTTCATTTTCCAGACATTGACTTCATTTTCCAGACCTTGACTTCATTTTCCAGACATTGCCTTCACTTTCCAGACATTGCCTTCACTTTCCAGACATTGACTTCACTTTCCAGACATTGCCTTCACTTTCCAGACATTGACTTTACTTTCCAGACATTGACTTCACTTTCCAGACATTGCCTTCACTTTACAGACATTGACTTCACTTTCCAGACATTGATTTCACTTTCCAGACATTGACTTCACTTTACAGACATTGACTTTATTTTCCAGACATTGACTTTACTTTACAGACATTGACTTCATTTTCCAGACATTGACTTTACTTTACAGACATTGACTTTACTTTCCAGACATTGCCTTCACTTTCCAGACATTGACTTCACTTTCCAGACATTGACTTTACTTTCCAGACATTGCCTTCACTTTCCAGACATTGACTTCACTTTCCAGACATTGTCTTTACTTTCCAGACATTGTCTTTACTTTCCAGACATTGACTTTACTTTCCAGACATTGACTTTACTTTCCAGACATTGACTTCACTTTCCAGACATTGACTTCACTTTCCAGACATTGACTTCACTTTCCAGACATTGCCTTCACCTTCGAGACATTGACTTTACTTTCCAGACATTGCCTTTACTTTCCAGACATTGACTTCACTTTCCAGACATTGACTTCACTTTCCAGACATTGACTTTACTTTCCAGACATTGACTTTACTTTCCAGACATTGACTTTACTTTCCAGACATTGACTTCACTTTCCAGACATTGCCTTTACTTTCCAGACTTTGCCTTCACTTTCCAGACTTTGCCTTCACTTTCCAGACTTTGCCTTTACTTTCCAGACTTTGCCTTCACTTTCCAGACTTTGCCTTTACTTTCCAGACTTTGCCTTTACTTTCCAGACTTTGCCTTCACTTTCCAGACTTTGCCTTTCAATTTTCAAAGTCCTAACTTTGCAGAAAAATGATGCCTATTTAATTGTGCAGACCTCTAGCAACAGTAGAATTATATTTGTTGATATGTTTCTCTTTCAGACACCAAAGTTTGTGAGCCACTATGAGGCCAGTGAGATGTTTAAACTGGTGGATCTAACAGAGTTCAGTGTCTACTGTGATTCAAATGTGACTATGTTGGGAGATTTGAATATGCAAGAATTGGCGGTAAGTATCCTGGAGAAATACTCAATACTGACAGCAATTTGATCTTACTGGTAAATGTCTTTTGTTAATTGGTTGATGATTACTTTAAGGAAATTGTGGAACATTAAAGGATCAGCTAGCCAAATGGTCTAAGAATGCTGGGCTCTCGTGTGTAAAAACCCATGTTTGAATACTGAGTAGTTTTAGGGATTGTTTTCTGTCCAGGGCACACAAAAAAAAATTCCTGATCTGCACAGTCTGTGATGACAACACTTGCCAAGTGACCTGAACTCTCCAGGTTCAAAACCCCCTGTCTACACCACACATAGTAGTCTATACAGCAGTAATGACAATAAAAAACAAAACAGAGGCAGATTAACATTAAATGGGATGAGCTCAAAGAAGGTGAAGAAATAGTTCTAGTCAGCACAACTGTTAGTATTAACAATCTAAGAAACAGAAGCTGGCAATATACTAGACACATCAGGATGAGAAATGAATAGAGAATCACTGAACAGACACTGAAATGGGGAACAAATGGATTAAGGAAACAGAGATGTCCAAGAAAAACCCTAAGAAAAATGTTGTTGATAGAGATCAAATGTGCTGTAATGGATTCCATTCATGAAGTTGAAAGGATTGCACTTGACTGTAATGGAGAATTACTCAATGAATTGCTCTTTGCTGACGACCAGGCAGTCATAGCACCAGCAGCAGTACAACAGCAACATATTAATAGCCTCCACTCAGAATGCAACAACTATGATATAATAATGATCAACATAGACAAATCAGAAGTGATGACATTCTTTAGAACAGAAAAAATCCACCAACATCAACATTGATATACATCAGTTAAAGCAGGTGAAGGACTTTACATATTTAGGGAGCATTTTTTTCAAGAAATTGGAAGAATTAATAAAGAAATGCAATAAAGCTGCGATAAAGCCAATTAAGCTATAGGACACATGGTACCAATACTGAAATGCAAGCATGTGAATATGAACACTAAAAGAGCACTGTTTACACAGTATTCGATACTTTAATTTTTAGATGACCCCATCTTGTCGGCTTCAAGATTTTGTATGGAATTCCTTGGGATTTCCCTGGATAGTACCCTATTATAGGGGGTTAAGGGTAGTGTTAAATGAATAGCGATTAACACTCCCCCCCCCCCCCCCTCCCCCATCCCAGAGCGATTTGGGGATTTCCCTACAAAATCTCGTAGTCGATGAGATGGGGTAATCTAAAATTAAAGAACCTAATATTCTTATCCCCGCTGTGCTATCAATGTCAAGGAAAGATCGACCTAAGAACGATGATGTCAGGAGGAGAGTTGGTACAGAACCAGTACTGGATTTTATTGTTCAACAACCGATAAATGGTTTGGCCATGTAACAAGATTGGCAACTGACAGGGCACCACAGAGATACAGCGCAGCAATATCTGAGACAGAGATCAGCCATGCAGAAGATGGGTCTACATTTTATTGGTAGACAACAGACTAAATGGTTTGGCCGTGTAACAAGATTGGCAACTGACAGGGCACCACAGAGATACAGTGCAGCAATATCTGAGACAGAGATCAGCCACGCAGAAGATGGGTCTACATTTTATTGGTAGACAACAGACTAAATGGTTTGGCCATGTAACAAGATTGGCAACACCATAGAGATACAGTGGTTACTGAGCCAGAGGTCAACCGCCGAAATATCGGAGACGCTGAGAAATACTGTAATTGAAGAGAACAGAATAGCCCATTCCAGAGATCTCTTCCTGCCCTGATGCTGCAAGGCATTCCAGGAGTACAGAAGAAGAAGAAGAATAGAATGGAGAACAAGACTCCAAACATATGTGACGTTTAATGGTGCAATAGGATGATGATGAATTCTCTGTATGTTAATTTTATTCATGACATCTAAATTATTTAAAGCTTTAATGTATTCTAGCAACATTTCTATACTCTATTTAAACAGGATGCATTAGAGAGAGATATGTTTCTGTCCACATCCAACAAGTTTGAGGTAGGGAGAGCTTTTAGTTACTGAAATCAATATTTTTTAGTCTTCTTCTTCTTCTTCTTCTGCGTTCGATATCAGTCATGCTAAACATTGAGTCCCGTCTGGGTCACAAATAGGATTGTGCGTTTAAGGTCGCCACCGGTCCCCCATAGCTTCTCTTGCAATGTGGCTCCTTTGGGCCAGATCCACAGTCTTTGCTGGGAGAGGTAAGGGCAGTACTGCAGTATGTGTTCAGGGGTTTGTCTTTCTGCTCCACAATCACAGGCAGCAGATTCTTTTATGCCTATCCTGTACAAGTGTGCTCGAAGACCACAGTGTCCAGTCCGAAGTCTAAGAATTGATGTTTGTTCTTTCCTGTTGAGTTTGTTTATGCTGTCACTCTCTGGTCTGTAATCTCCATTCTGCCTTCTCCACTCCCGCTTGAAAGACTGCTTTAGCGCTGTTTTGGTTTCCTTGTAGCTGTGTGGTGGATGAGGTTGTGGAAGATTACTCCCAGCTTTTGCCAACTCATCTGCTCTCTCATTTCCTTGAATACCACAGTGGGCTGGTATCCACTGCAAGACCAGTTCTGCTTCCTTGGAGAGTAAGCCAATGTTGGTCCTTAGATCAGCAATTATTTTGCCTTGTTTTTTGCTGGATAGTGCTTGGAGAACAGACAATGAGTCGCTAAGTATAACAATTTGGTGCCCTCTGTGTTCTTGAGTGATGAGATGTTGGACTGCAGAGAGGAGAGCAGTTGCCTCAGCTCTGAAGTTAGTGCAGATGTCACCTGCTGGTAGAGAGAGAGTTTCTGCTCTACTGCTAGGGGGTTTAATGTAAATTCCACAACCCCCCTTTCTGACTGCATCTGTAGCAGAGCTGTCGGTGAAAACCTGAGTCCAAGTGGTGTTTGGATACTTCTCATCAAGCATAGCAAGAGCCAGGGTTCTCTGATGTGTCTCTGTCTGGGCATCTTTTGAAGTGATTCCTGGTACCTTTAGGACTACATTTGCTTTCTCTGGCTTGCTTGTCCATGGTTCTGGCCTAAGTTTTTCGCACAGTGCAACATCTCTTTCAAGCAGATCTTGGTGCTGTCTATACAGTTCTCTAGCAAGGTGGTTGGGGCTCTGACGCTTCAGTCTGTTTTTTGTTCTCTCTTGAAATTTAAAATGCAGTGGGTGACTTTGAAGTCTTTTTAATTTCTCATACTGTAAAAGAGTTTTGTATCGTCTTCTGAGTTCGAGTGGTTCAGTATCTGCTATCTTTTCTATTTCTCTGATGGGGGTGGTTTTCATGGCTCCGAGAACAATCCTTAATCCCATATTCTGAACCTTGTCCAGTTTTCCCATTGTTGTCTTGGCTGCTGCAGCCCATGCAGTGGAGGCATATTCCATGACTGGCCTGACTGCTCCAGTATATACTTGTTTTAGGATTCTAGAGTTAGCGCCCCATGTGGTACCCGCTAATTTTTTCATAACTGCAAGCTTCTTGAATGCTTTTCCCTGTACTGCTTCTACATGTGACTTCCAAGTTAGTCGCGAATCAAGTGTAACGCCCAGAAAGGTAGGAGTGTCAGTCTGTGGAATGAGCTGGTTTTTAATCCAAATTTCGATTTTTTCTTTTTTTGGGGAGAGAGAGAAAAGTGATGCTGTGCTTTTTGATTTATTTAGCTTTAGACCCCACTTTTCCGTCCAGGCTTCTACATTTTCCACAGTTTTTTGTAACATATATGAGGCTGTGGTAGTGTATTCGGAGGCTGTCCAAACTGCAAAGTCATCGGCATGTAGGGTATTAAAAACGTGCTGGTGGCAGGTTGCTGTGATATCATTAATGTAAACCAGGAACAGAGTTGGTGATATAGCACTGCCCTGGGGAACTCCTTCTCTAAGTTTTGCCAGTTTGCCAATGTGTCCATCAATTCTGAATCTGGCTCTGCGTTGGAAAAGAAAGTCTTTGATCCACTTGTACATGTTGTGCACAACTCCTGCCTGTAGCAGTTTTAGTTGTAGGCCTTCTTTTCAAACTGTATCAAAAGCACGAGAGAGGTCAAAAAAGACAGCAAGAACTTTCTTTTTTTCCTGGAAGGCATTCTCAATTTCCTGTGTCAGATATGTCAACTGGTCCTCTGTATTTCTGTGCTGTCTGTATCCTGTCTGGGTGGTGGTGATTACTGAGTTTGTCTCCAGGAACCATATTAGTCTTTTATTTACTAATTTCTCCATCAATTTTCCTACACAACTAAGAAGGCTAATAGGTCTGTAGCTTTTTGGGTCTCTTCTGTCTCCACCCTTTTTAAGGATAGGCTGGATGAGGGCTTCCTTCCAGGCTGACGGTACTACCCCTTTTTGCCAGCTCTGGTTGTAGATGCAGAGGAGAAACTTCTTGGCAGCAGGTCCAAGATGAGAGAGAAATTCATTTGTAATGCCGTCAGCCCCTGGGGCTTTCTTCATTTTCAACTCTCCAATTCCAACTTCCAGCTCTTGCATGGTAAACCTTTCTGACATGCAGGCCTCTTTTGTTTTTGTGCTAAAGTCTGCTAGAAGAGTCTTGGTCTGGTTTCGTACTTCTTTTATTCTTTGCATGGGAATATGAACCTCAGTTTCCTTCTGGTGTGTTTCGGCTAGCACATCTGCTGCTACCTTGCCAGTAAACGATCCATCGTCTGTTTGGAGTACAACTCTGGCTTTTTCCGTCTTGTCTCCATTCAAGCTTTTTGTGAGATTCCACAGTCGTGAAGTGTCCTTCTCGAGGTTAAATGACGCTGTCTTTTTGTGCCAGCTTTCCCTCATCTGATTATTTCTCTCTCTGACGAAGGCTGCTTTTGCTCTGTTATGAAGTATTACATTTTTATCTGTTGGATCCTTCTCCATATTTTCCCTCCTGGTACTAAGTTTGGAATGCAGAGTGTACAGTTCAGGCGACCAGTAAGGTTTAAAGTTTTTCCTGCTGCCTCGTGGTATGTTACCCTTGGCTGCATTTAGAATAGTTGTGTTGAGGATCTTCAGTTTGGCATTTATTTCCAGTCTTCTGAAGAAGACTCTCCTCAACATGTCGTCCAAATAGGAAGTGAAAAGGCTCCAGTTAGCCTTCTTGTAGTTCCAGCTGGGAGGATTCTTTTCCTTAGTAACTTCTCTACTTTTGTTAATAGAAAGGATTACGGGCCTGTGGTCACTGCCTCCCAGCTGTTGACACACATCCCGGCTGGTAACTTTCTCCACATCTTCAGTTGCTATAGCCAAGTCTGGAGTGCTGGTTTTCCTCCAAGCTTGAGAGTAGAATGTGTCTGGGTCGTCACGATGATTTATCAGAACTAGAGTGTTGCTGATTATCCAGTTTTCTACCTCTTCTCCTTTCGCATTGAGGTCTGTGTAGCCCCAGCTAGGTGAGTGGCTATTTAGATCTCCGACAGCAATCCAGTTTTCTGTGTTTAGTAGGATGGGTCCCAGATTAATATCTCTGTTTGGTGGTGAGTAGATGTTGCATACTGTCACATCTTCCCTTGCACCCTTAATAGTGACTGTGATAAACTCTGTATCCCCACACTGAGATCTCTGGGTTTCCCAAGCTGTGATCGTGTTCTTGACAGCAGTCAAGACTCCTCCTTTTGGACGATCTAACCTGTCATGTCGGAAGATTTGGTATCCCCTGATAGAGAATCTGTGTGCACTTGTGAGGTGAGTCTCTTGGATGCAGCATATGTCGATATCGTGCTGCTTCAAGAAATTGTGTAGTTCAGTTTTCTTCAGCCTCACTCCCTCAGCATTCCAGTGCATGATTGTCAGTTTGTGTCCAGTTGCATTACTCTGTTCTTCCCTGGTCACTCCAGAAGATTCAGAGGTTGTGGCTCTAGTAGCTTGGGGTGGGCCCCCTCGAGGCTGAGGGCCCGGCGCCATCCCTACCCGTCCACGTCCCATAGGAATGACACCATAACGTGATAATTTTGTTTGCATGACCATATCGCTAGTGCGTAGATGCCCGATTTTTAGTCCCGTGCCAAGTAGGCTGACATCTTCTGACTTCGACGGTTGAGGTTTTTTTTCAGGATTCCCCCTCCCATAGGCTGATTGCCTTCCAGGGCTTATGAGTTCTGCCTACCCACATTTTCTGTCGGGCTTTGTTGCCCTAGCCTTTGTTCTTACAGGAACTTCCCACAAGGCAGTGGTGGTTTGGCATTCGGTGTGTCCTTCACGTAGATGAATTGCCTTTCAGGGCTTTTGAGCTTCATCTGCCCAGGGTTTAATTAATACAAAAGTGAGGGCTTAATAACCGTCACCCCAGTAGAGCCTCGTGCTGGGGAAGGAACTAGGGACGCAACATCCATCAGCCAGATGTCGCTCCTGTACATCATGACTGCCTTCGTTAACGACTGTGCTCCCCGACAGCCATGCAGTTTATTGGCACGAAGGAAACGCCTTAAACTTGGGTTCTGGACTACCGACTCCCTACATGCTGACACCTGTGTGTTATTGGTGTACAAAATTTGTCATTTTTCTGTCATATAACATTAGCCCGTGCATATGTTCCAGCATACATTAAAAAAAAAAAAAAAAAAAAAAAAAAAAAATCTATTTTTATGTATACATGCTTACTAACACTTGCACATACCAATAATAATTGTGACAAGAAATAACAGTAATTAACAGTTTACAGGTACTCCCACATCAAAGTAGAGAGGGAGAAAGAGGCACATGTACACATACAAGAATACAGAGGGATAAAGAGGGGGAGGAGGAGAAGGAGAGAGAGAGAGAGAGAGAGAGAGAGAGAGAGAGAGAGAGAGAGAGAGAGAGAGAGAGAGAGAGAGAGATCACTAAATGACTAATTCCTCTAGGAGGGAAAATGTTCAACAATGCTTCTATACTGTAATCCAGGTAGTTGGTGTGGGGCAGGGCATCAAAACTGTCCAGTGTTTTTCCTTGAGGGCCCGACACAGATATTGTCTGTTGCCGAAAAATAAAGGTGAAAATCCGAACGGCATTGATTCGATGAAGTTGAATGCACTTTAGCTAGTCTCCTATCCTAGAGACTGTTCTGTGTCCGGCTCCTAGGGGGTCCAGAAAATAAACCCGTTCATCTGATGGCCTAGTAGAATGTTTTTCGACCAGTTTCAAGTTACACATGGTAACCTTGTTACTGGCTTTCTGTGATGTTGACGACTTTGTGCCCCCTTCAAAATTCCGCTGTTAACTGTCCACAGATGATTGTCGCTGGGTGGGGCCGTGTGAAGTGAATGCAGCAAGTGAAATGGAAGCCGAGAGACTGGGGTGTTCTCAGTCGGGTACGCCCAGGGCTCCGTGGATAATATCCTGTTGGCTCCTTCATTATGAGGGGGGGGGGGGGGAAGAGAATTTAAACGTGTTCGCTAATTTCTCTAGACTCGATGTGAAGATGTTGATTTCCCTTCATTTATTGAGTAAAATGGGTCAATAAACTGCTTTACTGTGGTTTTTTTTTTTTCTCACAGGTATGTTAACACACGTTATATATTTGTTATTTTACTGCCGGACCCGCCTGGGTCAAAAAGAGTTAACGGGGTCAGCACATTTTTCTCCACGGAGCAGGCAGAAAGGGTGTGAACAATTCTGTCACTGTGTTTGCTGCTGGATGGAAAATAATGCGACTGAAATGTCCGATTTTTTTTCTACCGTGGAATGTGCCTTTTTGTCTCAGCTTGTTCCGTTGTCCAGTTTTATCGTTTGGAGGATAGCCAACGCGTATCGGGTGTCAGTGATACATTTCAGTGAAGAGACACGCCCTTTTGAACGCTATACCTGTTGTTTCCATACAGTGTGTGAATGCTTGTTAAAACTCTCTACTTAAAGAATCTAACATTTTTATCGCGTGTTGATAAGTAAAGCACTACAGAATATTTCACGGCACAACTGACAGGATAACGGTCACAGTGATATAAAAATATTATTTCTTTCACTAAGACAAACTGAATAATAAAGGTAGTTTCGTCGCCCAGCTTCTGAGTTGAGTGCATGGCGTGACACTGTGAGCTGCGTTTGTTTTTCGTTGGCACAGGAGCGGAGCAAGTGTGGGGTGACCCGTTTGCTATGAAGCTGAAACTAGGATTACCAGATTACCAGATTACCAGAATAATAAATCCAAAAAGTGAGAGCTCGAAAAAAACACGTCCTCTCAGTAGGGAGTCGGTGTCCTCTTTACTCATTTTTTTAGTCTAATTTGATTAGAAACTTTCATTAAAAAATATATATATATACTAGCTGTACCCGGCCATGTGTTGCTGTGGCATAGTTTGGCTAAATGGAAAAGAAAGAAAATAGAAATCGCACGTGTCTAATATGGTTACTGTTGCAATCATTGTCTGCGCACATACAGAAATAGTCTCCGATGCCCCCCCCCCCCCCCACCCACTTCCCAAATCCACCTACTACTCGCTTCTTCATCAAAGGCGTTTGGAAAAGAAAGACAATAGAAATAGCACGTGTTTTATATAGTTAATGTCGCAATCATTTTCTGCACAGATATAGAGATAACCTGGTTTGCCACTTTAGAACACGCAACATATAATTGTGTCTTTATATTAGTGGTCGTTTAAATGGTATTATTAGCACACCCAAAAAAAAAAGGTTCTTTGGTTATCACATGCTAAAGCTGTATTTGTAAATAACCAAGTAAGTGGTTAAAAATGAGAAAAGTGGAGGTAGCGTTAGTAAAATATAAACAAATTAGAAAATGAACACTTTAAAATCATGCGTTAAGCTCTTTTAGTTAACAATTTCTGTCATCACCCCCTCCCCTCCCCCATTAACGAATACTGCTCTCTCCCTCATCGAAGGATTTGAAAGTCATCACCCGGCGATATTTTTTGTAACTGACCTTGATACCCCTGTCCATCCGGACTAAAATAGGGAGCAGGAATTGTAATGAGTAGTAATTGCGGCTAGTATAATATTTACCACACTATCCTTTAAGTACCAGTACAACTACTACCACCATCACCACCACCACAATAACTAAAATAATGTCACTGCTATCTGTTTTACCATCGGAGTAGACATGGAGTCCTGAGCCAAATGCTTTGGCCCTGCAAGATTAATGCTGTCGCCACGGACTGGTCAGGTTAGGATGTTTAATTTCGCTCCCCGACAGAAAAATGCCATCACCTTACCGGCGGTCTCCGGCATGACAGCACTACGGTGTAACCGCCCAACCACAACAACTACTACTGCTGCTACTTTGAGTTGGTAGGGCAGTTACTGTGACTTAAAGCTCTGTCAGTTACCAGTTTATGCTTACACACCCCCCCCCCCCCCCCCCCACCCACCCCCTATTCACCGACTACTCTTTCCTTCATCGAAGTAGTTTGGAGAAAAAAACAAAATAAAATGCAACGAAAACAGGAAAAATACACCATAATTAGGAAATGAACGCTATAATAAACAACACAGCCTAATTCCAACGCAATATCAGAAGTAATTAAATCGAAATGAAAATAAATGGAAATCTATGAAAATTCAGCGTAACCATGCAATCGCAAAGTTTGCAATGAAATCATAAGTATGCGAAATGGTCAAATTTAATTATCAACTGGTTTACCCACATAACTGTACTTTTTAAAAAAGTATTTATGGCCACATGGCTAGTTCTGTTGCCACGACAGTGCAGGTCTGGGTTTTGTTTTGTCCCCGGGTTTTAAAAAAAACCGGACGTACTGGGGATTCGAACCCTAGGCTCCCGCACGGGAACCCAGTGTACTAAGCATTCGTCCAGCCAACCACTTCGTCTAATCAACGAAAAGAGAACAAAACTATGCAAGATGTGTGTCCAGATTCTAACACAACTCAAGACCGCAGGCAGTTGTTTTCTCATAAACAGATATCCCAGTTATAAATTTCAAGTATTATTGAAACGGCACAATAATAGAAATCGTACATGTCTATTACGGTAAATGTCGCAATCATTGTCTGCGCAGACATAGTCTTTGATCGCCCCCCCCCCCCCTTTTCTCAAATCCACCGACTTCTTTCTAACTCATCGAAGGTTGTTTGAAAAGAAAGAAAATAGAAACTGTGTCTGATATGGTTAAGTCGTAATCAGTGATATATAGTTTGGTTTGTTGCATCACGCCGGCGAATGGTTGATAACTGGAGTGTCCCGACTGGGCATGCGCATTTACGAACGTGGCTATAATTAAATGTCACTAAAAATGGAAATATTAGTTTTGAAGATTTTACCAACAAATGTAGTCACCTATCTCTAACAATGACAGGTATAATTTCAAACCATGACAGGTAAAATTTCAGTATCAAAACAAACATATCCTGAAAATTTCAGCTAAATCGGTTCAGTAGTTTCCGAGTCTATAGCTCATAAACAAACACACAAACATTGATTTTTATATATCTAGATATATCACTTTAATGTATTTAGATGTTCAGATTTGTTTTCTTCTTCTTCTTCACGTTCATCGGCGGTAAACTCTGGTGCAATGTTCTGGCTGTTCATCCACTTCTAGACTTTAATATTGTTCTTGAACCTGCGCTTTGCTCACACATTGGTTTTACAAATCTGGCTTATTTATATGCAGACTCTTAGTTACTTGCCTCTCAGGCAGATGCACACTGACTTCACAGGAAACATGCCTAATTAGTCGACTCTTACAACATACTTGTTAGGGGTCAGCGGGTCTGTTCTGGTTTTCCCCACAAAGGAGCCTCAGAACACACATGGGGAAGATTTGTTTTAAAAGCGGGTGTTATTATTTGTAAAAGTAAAGGGCCTTAGTTATGCCTTTGACATATCAGGCATATAGTGCTAGACATATGCTAAAACGAAATGTAAAGGTTGACTCATGCCGTAACCCCATGACTTCTATCAGTGAGGCTTACGTGAAAATTTGACATCAACTTGGCTATTTGCAAAACGTTATTTTTGGTTATTATTTATATTCTGGTCTTTTTAAACACTGCACAGGCACTCAGTGGAGTTTAACTACACTTTTTGACAGGTCACTGCAGACATGACGATATATTGGAAATTTTGACTGTGTTACAACTGAATGTGACAAGATTGTGTCACATTACTGACTCTCTGTCTTACAATTTTCAGCCTCTATACTGTATTGACATATTGTCTTTAATCCTCAACCTTCAAAGCCTAATCATCATCATGCATTTGGTCCTTTTGCAGAACTTCACAGTTTGCCTAAAAGAAACTCGGTCTCTCGCCAGCTGTCCCACCTCGTGCACTTTTCGACCCTACTTATATCCTGTGCTCATCTTCATGCTGTTGGCTTCTACACCTTTTTTCTGGTACCGTGCCTTCTGCTTTTATTTTCAGCCTGCCATAGCGCTTGATATGGCCGAAATATTTCAGTTTCTGAGACAAATTGCTGTTTACTAGTCCTTGGTGTTCAGATCTTTGAGGATGTCAGTATTTCTTTTCTTTTGAAGTGGTTTGGACACCTAACATGAATGCCCTGGTACTATCTGCCACAGCGAGCCACACTAAAACGTTACAGCAGGTTTAGAGCGAGTGGAAGACCTCAGAAAATATGGAGTAATGGCATTAAGAACAGCCTTACAGAAATGAACATCAGTCTTAATAGTGCTCTTGACAGAGCTCACCAACGATTGTTCCATTTCCTCCCCCAGACACTTCGATGAGTTACAAGGTGGAAGAGAAGAAGAAGATTTCTGTTCTTCCTAACTCCTTCCATTACATAACATGGACAGAGAAGATTTTTGTCGACCATTCATATATTTGTCAGTTTCACAAAGGGAAATGGTTTTGTGATTGTCCTCGTTTTGTTACACTTTGAACACAGTTAAATTCTCCCCAGCTCAGCTACCCACAAATAACCTGTGAGAATGTATAAAATAACCGTTTTAACTTTATTTGTTCACAGGCTCATGAATATATTCTTCAACCAATCACAGCGCAAGGAAAAGTCAGACGGAATGTGTCTGCTTTACCATTACGCTCGGCTGCAACTCCACGCATCTCGGTTGAACTCACCCTTTGTGACATGTCATTGAATCTAGCCTCTGATCAGTACCAGAATCTGAACCTGTGGCAGCGAGAATTTACACGGCATGGTTTGAGAAGAAAATATCGCAAAGGGAGACCTTCAGCCTCCATCTTATCAAGGTTAGTTGTTATAATATGAACTGGAGGTATGTTAGAGTGCTGGTTACTCCATCTTATCAAGGTTAGTTGTTATAATATGAACTGGAGGTATGTTAGGGTACTGATTACTTCAACTTGTAGTTAAGTTGAATAGAGTAAAGTCAAGAACCTGCATCACAGCACTCAAACAATTCCCATAAGTGCTGCATTCACATCTTCAGCAGCCAGCACAGAATTCCACTTCAGCTGGTGCCACTAGCAATCTGCCTATATATCCATCATGCCTGTCCTCTAACTGTTGAATCCAGGCTAGATGCCCTGGTCGCTAACCACTGCACTTTTTTTTAAGTTTTCCCACCAAGTAGTGCAGAACCAGCTAGCCTATCTGCTTGTTCATTTCCCAGCATTCTCTGGAGGAAATATCCATAGGATGTTATCTTGAAGCTGCACTTGCTACAGCATTCAACATCTTCTAAACATTTCTTCAAGACTTTAAAAGTAACATATAATAAACAAAAATCTGTCACTGTTATCATCGTCCAGTATCATCTCTATAATTTAATTAAGAATTAAATTAATTTGATGCTTTGAATATGCAACCTTGATAAAAATGCAAGTACTGCTATTCAAAGAAGTTAAAGCCAAGATAATTGACTTCACCCGGTTTTGTCCCATATGGCTCAGTCTCTCTCCGCAGAATAGCTGGTCGCCTGGCATGAGCACCTCACAGAGCACAAACTTCATAGCTCCACCGATGAGCCCAAGGGATCTCTGTAAAAATTGCGCTCGTGAACTGAAGGGCGCAGCCGTGAAGCAAACCCATGACCTTCAGAGCACAAGGCAAACGGCTTGACCACTTCGCCATGGAAGAAGTGAAACCAGACAAGAATATGATGCAGGAGTCCAAAGAAGATCAGTCAACCAACACAGTACTAGTTTCATCAGCTGCTGCTTACGGAGAAAGAGAAGATCCAAGAGAAAGAGATCTAAGCAGAAATGGAGTGAGCAGTTTGATCTGCAGTAAGGACAATCTGGCATCTAACATTCTGGTGGGCTGCATTTTGGCTGTGTCTCACTATTATGTGTCCAGTTAAATCACTGACACCCTGTGTCTGTTTTGCCTTTGTTGCTTGCCTTATTTTAGAATCCTGCACAAAACATATGACAGATGGTCCTTGTAGGGTTTTAAGGTTTTAAATTATATAAGTTAAACAGCAGTAACTTCGCCACAAATTTTTTGGGATCACCATAATGAAATATTTTCTTTCCTGCAGTGCACGCCAGTGGTGGCATTTTGCACAGACTGCTCATTTGGATATTATCAAAGAAAGAAACAAGAGACTGACAAAGACATTTTTACTAGAGCGCGCAAAACTTATCACAACATATGCAAAAGTGTACTCAGCCTACCTCAATGGAGAAGTTCTAACAGCACAACAAAAAGTAAGTTGTTCTTCTCACATCTCCTTAGTTTTTATAACAGAAGCTTCCTTCTGTAGGTTTTGGGACTCCATTTTGGAGAACATAGTATAGGATCTCCCCCCCCCCCCCCCCCCCCCAGTATGTCATTGGAGGTGACTAAGTAGGGGTGTTTCCTTCAGAGTTGGAGTGCATCTGCCTGAGAGGCAAGGAACCAACAGTCTGCGTACAAATAAGTGATATTTATAAAATGGATGTGCACGCAAAAGTCAAGTTCTGGATCAAGACGAAAGTCCAGGAGTGGATGAGCAACCAGAACTTTTCAGCTGGTTTACAGCCCATTAACACTAAGAAGAAGATAACAGAGGCTGAAGAACTAGAATGATTTGGTGGTGTCTTTTTCCCCTAAACATACAGGAAACTGTTGAGGTATGTGTTATTGCAGTCAGTGTCACTGCACATTGGGCATTTCCATGCATGCTCAGTTTTCCGATGCTGGCGATAGCCCAAAGTACCTCTACTGGTTGTTCCCATGAGAAGTTGGTTACAAGCTGTATAAATCCTATCATGACATACTGAAGTGAATCATGGACAGTTGGCAGATTAATGACGAATGGACTAAGTAGAAAAAAAATGCTGACATTAAAATATGTATATGTAATGATCATCAACATCAGATGTGCACAGCAATCGATCTGAAAGAAGGAACTGCTCACAAACATTAATTTTTTGTGTGGAAAGGTCTTGATGGACCATTGACAAAGGAAGCTCCTCCCAACAGGAAAACATACTCAAGTCTTGTAGTTGTCTGGCCAAGGCACAGTCTACAAAACTACAACACTAAGCAACTCCTCACTGTAATGTTAGTGTTAGACAATGAGAGGAAAGACTGAAAAGAAGTGATTTCACATGCTTAGCACTGTTCAAGTTTAAAGCCAGATGACTTCACAGTAAACTACCTTAAACTCTAGAACTCCTTCATAAATCAACAGGCAAGCAAGTCAGCCATTGAAGAACAGCTGGACTTTGATGAGCTGAAAGTCATTAGAAAGGCTGTCTTCTTGAAAGTATCCAAGAACAACCCTATGGTAAGTGATTGTTTCCATGCTTGTATTCCAATGCTGCAATGTTATTTACTTACTTTTGCCCGCCCAATGCTCTTATTTGCTTTTGGAAGGATGAGGCAAATCTGGAAATCCAAAAATTACCGCAGAGGAACGAAACTCCGACTCTACAAGAGCATCATTTTGCCAGTTCTTCTTTATGGAGCGGAATGCTGGAGAATGACCAAAAAGGATGCACACAAGCTGTTCACCTTCCACCACACATGTCTATGTAGAATTATCAAAATTTTCTGGCCAGATACAATCTCAAACACTAAACTACTTCAAGCCACAAACCAAGAAACTTTAGACAGTATGATTACCAAGAGAAGATGGAAATGGCTTGGCCACGTTATGAGAATGACTTCTGATATACCTGCCAAAACAGCTCTCAGAGGGAAAGAGAAAACAGGGGCGCCCAAAAACAACATGGAGACGAACGATGGAAAGTGACCTGAGTGCGGCATCTTTGACATGGAAAACTGCACTGAAGATTGCACAGGACAGGAAAGCATGGAAAGTCCTCTCTGAAGCATCATTTGCCACTAGGCATAACGAGAACTGATGATGACTGCTCTTATTATCTATTATACTTTTCCCAGGTCAACCCAGCCTAAAATGATTACCAGATCCTGGGAAGTAAAGGTGGCTGGCGTGATATTGACCACCTGTCAAGTGCCGATTAGTCTTTAAGAATATGTATTTGGCATTATATAGCTTATATGTCTTAGTTTGAACAACAGAAAAACTAAAGTAATGATAATTAAAAAAAAAAGAAATAGACCCTCCAAAATGCAACATGGAACAGTTCTCTAACAGGTTGATATGTTTAATTATTTGGGCACCCTGATAACATGTATTAGAGAAGTTAAATTTAGAATAGCTCAAGCAAAAGCAGCATTTTACAAAATGAAGAATATTCTATGAAATCTTTCTTTGTCACTTGAGACAAGAAAGAGTTCTTAAAATTTATATATATCCTGATATAGGAAAGTAAATCATGGACAGCTAGCAGATTAATGACAAATAATTATTTGGAAGGTGCTGACATTGTAAAATATCACAACATCTAGGCCATCAACTGCCATGGTGGATTGGAAAGAATAAAAGCAAAAGACATGGTACCAGGAAAGAGGAGCTTAGGCTGACCAGCACAAAGATGGACACAGGATATAAGTGCAATAAACAAACAGTAAAGTAAAAAAGTAAAAAGTAAAGATCCCTTTCCACGCCTTTAGGCGTATCGGGCATAAGGGAAGAGCGCCCATATTTTTACAGACCATCAGCACTCTGTGGGTAATGTGGTCAGCATTACGCCGGCTGTCTTTACTTTCCCAGGACAGCCCATCCTTGTACCCATTTTAGGCTGGGTCGACCTGCGAATAAACAAACAGACAATGTATTAATTGGCACTCCTAGAAATAAGTAGAAAGCTATTAGTTACCATGCTGTGAAACGAACCTGCCACCTCCAGATGATGAATCCACCTTGCTATGGAAATAAGTGTGCTAAGTTACATGGCCAACTAGGCACCCCAGGATATAAGTGATACCTTGGGTAGAAAAGCGAACGAGTCAGGCAAGCTGGCGAGAGGCCGAGTTTCTTTTAGGTGGGCTGCAATGAGAACGATGTTCTACAAAAGACCTGCTACATGATGTTGTTTCATTACATGTCAGGGAAAATCATGTAGTAGCACACCTGATGAATTGTGCTATAGGAAGCCTGTTGAGATGGTGAGTGTGACTTTGCAAGACCTGCTCCTCTTTAAGAGACATCATCCAGGGATTTCAGGACCATTGTTACCGCAGCATGAATTTAATGTTCTTCTTAGATGCACAGCTCTCAACTTGTCTAAGGTTGTTGCGTATCCTTTACAGGACGTTGCAAAACCAACCCTTACAGCCCTGGCTGTTGTGTGGTTTCTCTTGGCAAATTTACGTCCAGTAGTTTGCCATTGCTTTCTGGACGGTCGGCTTTCTTGATACTACTGTCGAAACCAACGCAAGGCGCATTGCCCGCAGTTGGGATCAAACCCGGCATCCCGGCATTACGAAGCGAAGTGTTCGCATCGACTTAGCCACAGAGCCGACACTTGTCTAAGACCGGCACTGAAATATGCTAGGCAATAAACAATGTTGCTTCAATTCATAATGAGATTCTTTATTGGCATACCACATATTTTTATGTCTTAAATACAGTTATTGTAAAATTATTATAACAATCTTGTCTTTGAAGACTTCAGTCATGACACCAAAGAAAAGCCCGCCCCCAGTTGAACTAGTGTCAACACCGGTAAGAGAGAGAGGTAGTTTATTCCAGCGATGGTTCCCTGGTTGGTCAGGGTGGTCCCAGCCCACACCGTCATCCCCATCTCCTCCCCCAGAACTGGAGCATGAGCAGCTGTCACCACAGTCATCGCCAACAGATTCCCAGGATGTGTCTCTGTCGTCTTCATCCTCATCCAACACATTGAAAAGCAGCACAGACTTCACAGCTGATACACAAGAAGATGTTCTAACAGAGGATGAAATAGGTAACTTATTGAACTATGTCTCTGCATTCATTTACCCATCTGCTGATTGCACAGTGCTGAAAACCTCCTTGTGTGATTGCACTGCACTGAGTTCCTCTGTGTGTGAATGCACTGTGCTGAGTACTTCAGTGTATGACTGCCCTGTGCTGAGTACCTCAGTGTGTGATTCCACTGACCTGAGTTTCTCAGCTGAATTGTCTGCACTGTGCTGAGTTTCTCAGTGTGTGATTGCACTGTGCTGAGTACTTCAGTGTATGACTGCCCTGTGCTGAGTACCTCAGTGTGTGATTGCACTGACCTCAGTTCCTCAGCTGAATTGTCTGCACTGTGCTGAGTTTCTCAGTGTGTGATTGCACTGTACTGAGACTTTCTTGTGGGTTTGCACCGTACTAAGAATTCCTTGTGGGTATGCATTTAGCGGAGATTTTCCTAGTGTGACTACACTGTGTGGTGATTCTTCTTCTGTGATCTATGGAAAAGAATAAAACACTTATGATTTCCTTTATTTAATGTATTATTATTACCTTCTGTGTGTGTGTGTGCTTGCTTGCTTGCTTGTATTTGATTATTCACACTGACAGTTCAGTGTCAAGAGGCAAAAGAAGTTCTTGGGGTTTCTTAGCAAAAGTTAATGGTTGACATTGGGTGCAGGAGAGCCTAGCATATGAAACAACATCCAGCTTAAGAATGGAAGTGCAGGCGGTCACCGCAGCTCTCTGCTGGTTAGAGAACATAACACACACACACACATCCGGATTGTAACCGACTCAGAAAGCATGCTGAGAAAGGGCAGGATAGGCATGTTTTGTGCAGAGTGGTGTGCTTCACTGCGAAGGACACGGGTGAGGAGTATTATCTAGATTTTTCCACCAGGATAAGCCCGTGTGTTGGGAAATGAACAGATGGACAGACTGGCTGGCTCTACACAACTTGGTGGAATACTGATGCACGATAAGGCAGACGTGGTTAGTGCCTTGTGACTGAGCGTGTACAGTTTGAAGAAGCAGATGGTCTGGTGAGATTGATGCAGCAGGAAGTGACAAGAGAGAGGTTCTGGCAGAATGCTCGAGGCTCGGAGCAAAGACAAGACGGACGTTTAATCAGAATGCTACTGGCACCATTAGTATCGGAACTCTTCACTGGCTGCTGAATATGGGGAAGGAGCGCTTATGGGAAAACCGCGAGTGCTGTGATGACGGTTCTTGAATCAACTCAACTCTAACCTGCTTGTTAGTTTTGATTTTTGCAGTTTGAGGGTCATGTGTACAAGGTAATTTTAAACAAAAATTACTTAATAATTTAAAAAAATAACCAATATAAAATGAAACAAATAGACTAAAAGTTCCAGCTGATGAACACTGACACCTTATACTGAAAGCTTGGAAATATCTGCCCCAAAATACAGACCTCTGACTTAAGAGAATCAAAGTTTTTTCTGCTCTGCTCTTCTTAACTGTTACACTGAAGTGTCTTCCAACTTAGGGGTAATTTATCTATGATACGTTTTCTGTTGTATACTTAGTCCCTTTAACTGTTACACTGAAGTGTCTTTGCACTTAGGGGTAATTTCTCGATTCTACCTTTTCTGTTTTATACCTAGTCCCTTTAACTGTTACACTGAAGTATCTTTGCACTTAGGGGTAATTTCTCTATTCTACCTTTTCTGTTTTATACTTAGTCCCTTTAAATCTCACACTGAGGTGTATTTCCACTTAGGGTTAATTCTCTATTCCACCTCTTCTGTTTTATACTTTAAATCTTAAACTGAAATGTCTTGCCACTTAAGGGTAATTTCTCTGTTCCACCTCTTCTGTTATATACTTAGTCCCTTTAACTCTCGCATTAAAATTTCATCCCACTTGAGGGTAATTTCTTGGTTCCACCTTTTCTGTTAAATACTTAGTCCCTTTAACTCTCACATAAAAATGTCTTCCCACTTGAGGGTAATTTCTCCGTTACGTTTCGTCTGTTATATACCCAGTCCCTTTAACTCTCAAAATGAGATGTCTTCCCACTTAAGGGTAATTTCTGTATTCCACTTCTTAAGAGTAATTTCTCTATTCCACCTCTTTTATTATATACTCAGTCCATTTAATTCTCACACCGAAGTTTCTCACTAAGGGGTTATTTTTTTGTCCCACCTCTTTTGTTATATACTCCATCCTTTAAATCTCTCAGTGTAAAGTCAGAACAGATATTAACATTGATCAAGCAACTAACTATACTTTCTGCTGGAGTTTACAGAACAGATATTAACATTGATCAAGCAGCTAACTATACTTTCTGCTGGAGTTTACAGAACAGATATTAACATTGATCAAGCAGCTAACTATACTTTCTGCTGGAGTTTACAGCCAGTGAACACTAAGAAATTGTTCTTTGAATCTGATGAATGTCTTCATATCCTAGTGTTAACAAAGAGATTAAAGATGTTTTTGATTATGCTTGCTTCACAGATTGTTCTTTTAGTTAAATTAGTAAATCCCCATGTGTCTGTATGCCCTTATCTGTATGTTAACAGAGCAAGAAATTAAAGATGTTTTGGTGTATTGTATTGAGAAATGTTTTTGGTTAATGTGATGAATATGTCTGTATCTTTGTGTTAACAGAGCAAGAGATTAAAGATGTTATCAAGGATTCCTCTGTAAACAGTTCGTTTCTCAGGAAGGACACTGTGTTTGCTAGAATGACATTTATGTTGACAAAGGGATCATTCACACTCAAGGAAACTCAGCACACTAACAAAGGTTGGTTTATATTAACACTTGATTCTATTAACTAATTTGAGTTGTTGAGAATCAACATCACATGACTCTAGACATTCCCATAAGCGCTCCATACACATCTTCAGCAGGTGGGGCAGAGTTCCAGTTCCGGTGGATCAGTAGCAGTTTGATTGTATGTTCATCTTGCCTGTCCTGTGAGTGTTGAGTGTCAGCCAGATCCTGTGATTATTCACATCAGCCCATGATGATCTGTTTGTGCTTGTACACTGTTCACTTGTTCCCCAAGGGCCTCAACCACATCTAGCTTGCCAAGCCTCACTACACCAACATGATGCAGAGCCAGTCTTCTGCTGTTCTGTTGCCATTAAATGGCCGTTAATGCCTATTTGTTTAGATTAGGTAAGAAAACACATGGAGAAGAGAGCTGGAGAATGAAGTTAGAAAGATGGGGAGAGCTCCATACAATGGCGAAGGATAGAACGACTTGGCGTGAGTTGGATGAGGACCTATGCTCCACTGGGGGATAGAAAGGCAGAAGAAGAAGAAGAATGCCTATTTTACCACAAAAGCAGGGAATCTTTGAGCCTGGGGATTTAAGGCCCCATGGCTTCTGCTCTTGCCATGAACCATGCAGGTTTGGATATTATTTTCAATGCTGTTCTGTTGCGAGTAATTAACTTAAAGCAAAGCAGTGAAAGGTACTTTGATTTTTATTATAATCTCAAGTAGTTTTCGTTATGTTTTAGCTTACTTCATTACTTGAAATTGATTGGGCACTTGTCAGCAGGCCTCTGTTTTCAATCATTTGAATCTTCTTGAATTGTCTGATCTCCATTCCTCTTCCCTCCTCCTGCTGCTGCTTCAGCATTCCAAACCCTTGAGGTTCATTGCTGCAGATGTCAGGCCGTTCTGTGATTGGCCTCTCATTCTATTTTTTGACTTCAAGTAGTTTGTAGGTCTGACTGTATATTATCTCTGCACCATCTTCTTAGTCTGCCTCGTGGTCTACTCCTTTTCAGCTTCCTTGTGAACACAGTTTTTGTCTGTCTGTTAGCTGCCATTCTCTCTGTTGGGGCCAACCATTTCAGTCTAATAGCCCTCATTTGATTTGTCCCATAAATTAGTTAAATAGCATGATAAAGTTTCAAAATTGAAGAGTATGCAGTTGCCCATGTTTATATTTTTATATTCCTTCTGTTACCCTTTTTTTACAGATAATATCAAACCTGCCCCATTGGTGGAACTCCACTGTTCCTCAATTGGTATGGAGTTTGAATCTCGACCTCGGACTAGCGCCATGAAATTCTCCCTGGCTGTTGGGAGCTTTTTTGTCCAAGATCAAAGGGCACAGAATCCTGTGTTTTCCCAGGTCATTTGTCCTCAAGCAAAAGTAAGGATTACTTTCCCATCATCAGTTCTCGTTATGCCTAGTGGCACATGAGGCTTCAGAGAGGACTTTCCATGCTTTCCTGTTCTGTGCAATCTTCAGTGCAGTTTTCCATGTCAAAGATGCCGCACTCAGGTCACTTTCCATCGATCGTCTCCATGTTGTTTCCCATGTTATTTGTAAATTTTGTGGTGTGTTTGTGGTCATATAAAAGCATAATTGCCTTCTACTGCCTGTGTGGGTTCTAGGGCTTCTTTTTGGAGAACAAAGAATAGGCCTACCATGCTCCCCCCTCCTGGGCATATCATAGGAGGTGACTGATTAGGGGTGTTTCCTTTAAAGTCAGAGTGCATCTGCCTGAGAGGCACAGAACCTGCAGTCTGCATACAGATAAGCCAGATCTGCACAAATTCAGGTTCTGGATCAAGACGAAGTCCAGGAGTGGACAAAAAACCAGAAATTTCCGCAGAAGTTCACAGCTGGTGAGTGCTAAGAAAAGAAGTAGAATAGTTTCCTATTATAGATGCCTGAAGTTGCAGTCTGTATCCAAAAGCACCACTGGAGTTAGACATTGTGTGTCCAGTAGGAGTCAGTGTTCAGCATAGCATCATGTAGTGTTTTTAAAATCTCCTTTTTCCATTTGTTCAACCCCTCCTTCAACCATGTTTTATTTAGCTACAGATTTTCCCGTTTCAGCTTTAAAAAAATATTTATGTTGTTTTTTCCATATATAACTTTCTTGTTTTTCAGGATTCATGTTGTTTTATTTGTTAATAAAAACTTTTGTTGAAACGTTCAGTTGTATCTGTGCACATCCATTTCTTTTCTCTTGTTGAGCTTCCTGGCCACAATTTGTGTATCTTTTTTTTTTTGAGGCTCAAAATATTTTGGGTTTATTGTTTGTGTCTGTGCACCAATTTTCAGTGCTTATTTGTTGAATCTTGTGACAGTCTTGTAGAATATGTTTCACTATCTGTAAAATCTGATTGCATCAGGAGACAGTGTACATTCTTTGGTCATGTCTTGAAATGAGAAAACTTGAGTACATGGTGGGAAAGTTGGAGGGAAAAAGAGGCAGAGGGAGATCGAGAGAGAAGATGCTGGATAGTTTGACATCCTTGCGTAGAAGATCATCTGTGTTAGAACTAGTTGAAAGCACATGAGACAGAATGTTGTGGGTAGACATGACTTGTGGGAAATAGGTACGATATCACACCATGTATATTCTATTTCACCAGCTACCAAGCATCTAGATTTTATTATTAATTGAGGTTATTCCTTTCTGGGTCTAGCGCTAGTTAAGTCTCTGAGAAACCAGTGACTGCTTAACGAAACCATAATAAATCACTCAAGGTATGGTTCTCTAGTGCAATCAGTCTCTTAATTGTGGACGAGCGCATGGCGATGATGAATTGGTGATGTAAGATGAACAAGTAGTCTCTTGGTCGCTCTCATTCAACTAATAGCTGACTCGCTCAGTAAATACTGGAAAAAAGTCTAAATAGTTCTCAGTCAACCACTTGTAGACTGTAACCCATAAGGTTCGTACCTGAAACACAAGTATGATTCAAGTATGCTCTGCTAGCACACTACACCAAGTTCAAATAAACTGTGCAGATGCTCCAACAGAATAAAACACACAGTAAAAACTGACACATAACACGCACAAGCGTTTTAACTCAATCACTGACTGAAGGCTACTGACTGAACACCTTCAGCTCAGCGGTAGTCACACTTGGGTCTTGCAATGCCCGAGGAGACCGCTGTTACCCGTTAATCTAAAAAAATCTTGGTCTCGCGAGTTAAGTAGCGTGGGCTGTTTGCACTCATTCCTGTCATCATCATCTACTTTTACGACTAGCGTAGGTGATCATGCCTCTGACCTCTGGTACAACTGAATAGCAAAGTGAGTTCAGCACACAGCAATGACTACCAATGCCGCATGGCAAGAACTATGAGAAGAAAGTCTGTATGTGTGATGTACCAGTTTCAGTCCATGTGCTATAATGAGTTAAACTTTATGCATAAACATGTATCCCAGGATCAACAGAGCAAGGGAGCATTCAAGCAATTCTCTCAGTTCACCAACATGCAAAACCTGATCCCCATGAGCAAGGAGACAGAGAGCAAGGAGTTTTTCACCCTGGTATATGAGAAGAATCCTCATGGCAATTTCAAATACAGGTTTGTCAGTAAAGTTACTGTTTGTAGTCTTAGGCTTGTTAAAACTGCTTAGTCCAAGTGTACTGAGGTTTAAAGTCAGCTGCAGGCAGTTTGGTTTCATGCTGCTTTGTTGTGACTTTCTTCATTATCTAGCACTTACTTTGCAGAACATCACTGTCTCATCACAGCCCACCTGAACAAGACTTGGTCTCTTGCCAGCACTTCTGTCTCATAAACTTTCCTAACCAACATGTCACATATCCTGTGCCCATCTTCATGCTGGTCTGCCCCTGCCTGTCTTTCCTGTCATCATGCCTTCTGTTTTGGCTTTAACAACATCCCAGAGTGGGTTCTAGGAAAAACAAGAATAGACCCACTGTCTGCTTCCCCAACAAATGTTGCAAGAGTTGACTGATTGAAAGCTTTCTTCAAAGTCAGAGTGCATCTGCCTGAGAGTTGAGTAGCCGGCAGACTGCATGAAAATAAGTCTTAGCTATAAAACAGATGTGCACTCAGAACTCATGTTCTGGAACAGGACTAAAGTCTAGAAATAGACCAACAACCAGAACCTTCTGCCGGAGATTACAACTGGCGATCATAAAGTTTAACTTTTCTATGTACCGGCACGAATCAGGACATCAAGACTGCAACCGAAATGATAAGATATAAGCGCTTGTAGCCAAGCTTTATTATTGAGGTGGCACTTGATGGATTCATAGATGATTCTTTTGTCTGCCTTGTCCTCAGCATCAGCATGAAGTCACAACCACTGGACATCATATACATGCCTGAACTCATCAACAGAGTTAAGGACTTGTTCAGTTCACCTCCTGGTGCCATCCCTCGAGCTGCCAGCTCAGGTGAGTTACAGAGTTACCATGCACTTCTTCTGTCCCTGGACACAGAACCATCTGTATAGATCATTGTCTTTCCAGATGATAGTTTATATTGTGTTGTTAGCATTGTCTTTCCAGATGATTGTTTACATTGTGTTGTTAGCGTTGTCTTTCCAAATGACAGTTTATATTGTGTTGTTAGCGTTGTCTTTCCAGATGATGGTTTATATTGTGTTGTTAGCGTTGTCTTTCCAGATGATAGTTTATTTTGTGTTGTTAGCGTTGTCTTTCCAGATGATGGTATATTTTGTACTGTACACAGGTAGGCTTGGGAATCACAGCCTCTATGGTTGGGCAGTTAAGGCTAGGGATGAAGTTCTCCTGAAACAAAGTCTGGGCAATATTTTAAGATCCTTGTATTGTCCTCTGTTAACTCCAAAAGGAAAAGTAACACTGACCAGGATGTTTGGAACAAAGCTTGCTGCAGAAGCTGCTGGATCAGAAGAGCTGTGCTCGGTCTCTCCACTTGTCAGAGCTTGCCTTCTAAACCAGTTACCAACCAAGGCTAAGCACCTGGTCTGCCCTGTCACAACATTAAGTTTTCAGGTCGCATTTCCCTTTCCCAGTTGTAAAAGCCAGTGACTTTATAGGACTGATGAATAACATAAGCTTCTTCACTGTTTCCCAGGGCGTATGCTCTCATAATGTTAGTTCATGGTGTAGATTACCAGTTTTGGAGGTCTTGAGGTATCTTATCAACTGTAAAGTTCGTTCGTTCGTTCCCAGAGAAAACATTCACTTTTGAATGTGTTGAGTGTTGAGAGTTAAGGACTGACATCACAACACACTGGACTTTCCCATGAGCCCTGTGTCCTCATCTTCAGCAGCCAGCAAAGAGTTCAAATTCTGATGATACCAGTAACAGTTTGATTATATGTCCTTCTTGGCTTTCATATCCCCTGGTCACTCCCAGCTGTATCTTTCTCTCCAGACCATAATTATCTGTTTGAGCTTTAGCGTTGTTTATTTGCTCACGATGGGCCTTGACCACATGTTTTTGTGTTGTTCCAACAGCTGATCAAAGCCTCTCCGAAAAAGTCATTGGCCAGGCATGCACCAAAAGAGAAACAAGAAGATGGCTTTACAATAAGATGGAGCAATAGAAAGAGAGCACTATGTGACATAAACAGCACAACAGAATGATGATAATCATTGTTGTTGCCTGAGTTTGTTCTTTTAACTGATTATAGAAAATCTGTGTATTACCATCACCGCTGTAAACTTTTTTTTATGCTTCCACCAGTACCCAGTGGACAGTTTGAGAAGATACGAAAGCAAACACAGGAGGAACTGAAAAACACATTGGATCATTTACTGGAAGTGAGTAGCTTTTTCTTCATTGTCTTATGGTAATCAACATCAAATAGCATCCTTCCATTGAAAGTTAGCTCTATAAAAGTTAGCTCTTCTGTGCCATTTACTCTTAAGTGGGTAACTTCTGTTCGTCTGGCTGGGTTCGGGAACCTACACAAGGATTTACTAGCTTTGGCTAATGAATAAGAATCACAATCTAATTTTTTTTGTTCAAATCAGTCCCTGGGACACTAGATAAGATGGCTACTGTTGCAAGTTTGGTTCATTACTGAATGGCTTTGACACAAAATAATGATGAAAAAAGCTCCTCTGTCGATGGAAATGCTGTACTGTTGTGGAATGTGAACAGTTTCTCACTTGCTGACAGTGATGATGATGATAATGATACCAGTTGTAACACTCTCGGTACAAATCAACTCAGCGTGCATTTACTAGTTACTTAATTCCTTATTCTTCATTCAGCTGGTACATTAGTCAGGTGCTACTTAAACTCAATGCAGCGGTTTACTGTTTTTATTCATGGCAAGTTTTTGCTTTTGACCTTAGCTAACTGTTGCATTTTCCCCCATATGTAGAATGAAAGGAGACATTTCTGCCCTCAGTTACTAAGCTGAGTACATGGCGCGACATTGCACAGCAGATTTCATTTGGAATGCTTTTTGACTATGCCAAATTTAGATTATGTTGTGAACTGCAGATTCATAAATGGAGATAGGCCTGTGAACTGCAGATTCATAAATGGAGATAGGCCTGTGAACTGCAGATTCATAAATGGAGATAGGCCTGTTGCCAGATAACTTGTGGTGCCTTATGCGATTAATTGTGTGTGCAACTACTGATCTGATGTAACTGCTGCTTCCATCGACAATGAACTGCATTTCCAATGTCAGACTGTTTGTGTTGGCACTTCTAACTGCTACATAAGGGACAGTGATGGACATTTTGTGTGACTTACACTGGCATAGGAACAGAGCAGCTATAGGGAACCATTGGCTATGAAGTAGGAACTCTGATAACTTGAACTCAGTTTTGTCCTTGATTGTTATTAAATTTGTCCAGTCAGTTGCATACATCGTCCACTTCTTCACGTTCACCGGCTGTAAACTCTGGCGGAAAGTTCTAGTTGTTCAACAACTTCTTCACGTTCACCAGCTGTAAACTGGCGGAAAGTTCTGGTTGTTCGTTCACTTCTTCACATTCACCAGCTATAAGCTTTTGGGTGGGCAGTAGGTATATTCTTGTTTTCCCTTTATTAGGGCCCCGGAACCCACACGGGGAGGTATCAGCATGTGAACTGATACATGCTTTTAGTTGTGGAGAGGCATGATTACCCACGCAAGTCAGAAGGCACTTCATAATGATGATGAAGATATAACAACTTCAAGTTGCTTGTTTAGGATTGACAGGGTTAATGGAAAACATCTTCTCCACAGGTGAAAACTAGCAGATGGGACATTAACCTAGACATCAGTGCCCCTAGGTTTGTGATACCTGACAACATGTCGGAGAGCAACCCACAGCTTGTGGTCATTGACCTGGGCAACTTTCAGTTCCACACCATCACTACTTTGCCCAATTCTTCGGCTGAACAAAACGGCAAAGATAAAACCAAGGAAGAGGATGGTGAAGGTATGTGGCAGGTTTTTAATGTCAATTAGTTGTTTATATGCTTTTTTGTTTCTTCTTCTTCTTCTTCTTCTTCTTCTTCTTCTTCTTCTTCTTCTTCTTCTTCTTCTTCTTCTTCTTCTTCTTCTTCTTCTTCTTCTTCTTCTTTGTGCTCACTGACTGTAAACTTCAATCGAAAATTCTGATTGTTGTCCACCTCTTGACTTTAATCTTGTTCTAGAATTTGAGTTTTGCGTGCACCTTCATTTAATGGATCAATCTTATTTGTGTGCAGACTGTTGGTTCATTGCCTTTCAGGCAAATGCACTCTGACTTCGAAGGAAACTCCTTATTATTTGACTCTTAGGACATGCTTGTTGGGGAGGCAGTTGCATTGGGTCTATTCCTATTTCCCACCGAGAGTGTTGACATATTTTCTTCTTTTTCATTTCTTTCATTATCATCATTGTCATTTCTTTATTGTCTCATTGTATAAATAAATTTGAAAAAAACTTGAAGTTTATGTCAGCTTTACATATCAGTTACAATAAACAAGACAAGGATATTGCGGCAAAGAAAGCAAACGAAAATGAGAAATAACGCACAGAAAAAGGAAATAATTCTGAAGTAACCAAATAACAGCGTTGAAATATGGAAACAAATAAAAGAAAATAATTATGGTAGTCAGGAGAATTATTTAAAATGATGGTTCCTAATTATATAAAACCCACAGACCCTTCTTATTTTCGAAGGCCTGCCGGGGACCCCCTACTTTTTAATAGTCAGTTTAAAAAAACCACTCTATTAGAATCTCTCTCTCTCTCTCTCTCTCTCTCTCTCTCTCTCTCTCTCTCTCTCTCTCTCTCTCTCTCTCTCTCTCTCTCTCTCTCTCTCTCTCTCTCCCCCCCCCTCTCTCTCTCTCTTTTTCTCTTTCTCTGTCTCGCATGTACGCACGCACATGTGTCACACACACACACACAAGTGTTGAAGTGTCTTTCTTCTAAACAGTATCATGGACCCCTTTTGGGGAACCACTGGTAAAGAAAGCATGAAACTTACCTGGACCGCTGCAGGTTTGATAAAAGGACATCATCATCATCACCAAGAACAGTACTGTGCAAAATAGGAAGAGGTAGACCAGACACATTTATAAATTAGGCATGAACAGATCTAATCAATGCTTCAGCTACAAAGAATTAAAGAGAGGGAATCTTTTATATTGCCTTGCAAATCATTGAAAAATAAAGCAAAAGATTTAAATGGGAACGGAGAGCTGCAAAAAGTGTGGCTTGTTGATCAAGTATATGACAAGGCCCAATACTTCACACCCACATTATAGCATTACTTTCTCCTTATTTCACATTTAGTTAACTTTCGTAACACATTGTAGCATATTTTCAAACATCATTTTCTAATATTTGAACATGTAACAGTATCAAGTAATATTTGCTTCACTATTTTGACTGGAACATTCATTCTAGAAGAAATATAAAAAAAATACAGAACAAGGGGATGATCACACAAAAGACGAAGTGATGACATTGAGAACAACCTTTGAGTAATGAATACCAGCTTATATGGCACATTTGAACGAGCACGCATGCGGTCCTTACATCTCTTCTGTTTCTGCACTCTCCTTTTCCCAAACGCCACACTGGGATGAGTGGAAAAGAAAAAGAAGTCATCTTTAATCTTAACATGCTTGCAAACTATTGTATTGTTTGCTTTCTCTTAACTTTGCTTGTTTTAATTTTCACAATACCTGACGTCATAATTTATTGAATAACCAGACAAGTTTGAGACTCCTTTGTCCACTCCACCCAATGAAGAAGCTGAAGATGAAGAGGTGAAAAAGACGCTGACCTTGGGTCGGGTGCCTGAACTGAAGAGACCTAAGAGTTCTGAGTCCCTCTCCGAGGCTGCGCCTGACACCTTTCATGACAGGCTGTATGAGAAGTAAGTTTTGTTTCATGTCTTTGTTAAATTTATACAGTTCTGGGAAGTAAAGTCGGCATCTGTGACTTTGGCTTTGTGAATGCGCTTCCTAATGCCAGGGTGCTGGGTTTGATCCCTGCTGCCGGTGATTTGTCTAGCATTGGTTTCGACAGTGGTACTGGGAGTTGACCTTTCAGAAGCAGTAGCAAATTACTGAATGTTGAATTTGTCTAGAAAAACCACAACAGCCAAACAATGCTAGGGTAGGTTCTGCAACATCCTATTAAGTATACACAACTAATTAACTTTGTTAAATTATAGCCTGACAGGTATTTGTTTTTATAGTTTAGTTTTGGACCATTTCAGTCCCCAAGGAACGCATTATATGTTCATAGGTTCCTATATAGAAGCACAGTGAATGCAAGGTGTGCCGATTTTACATCTCTCTTTACTACTCCTTGGACCTTTGATGCTAAACCCCCTGGACTGAAAGAGTTAAAGGGTCTTACAGCCTATATTATTTTAAGAACTTACAGCCATAAAGAAGAGACAAATTGATTGTACCCTGGCAGAAACCTTTGACTTCCAGAGATTTCCTTGTGCTATGAAAATTCCTCTTGCCTAATAGAGAACAGTAGTATTGGATAATGCTGTTAATTAAGTGTCTGAGAATTTTACCACTGTATGTATGAACATGGGAGTCGCCGTGGTGCAGCGACTAGACGCTTGCTTGAGGATTGGAAGGTCATGTATTTAGGCTCTGACGGAGCTGGACTTTAAAAAAAATGACCATGGCTTCCAGGTCAACCCAGCATTGATTAGGTACCTGGTGCAGTCCTAACAATCTACTGAAAGTATTTCAAGATCTTGGCCGATGCTACAAAGTTCATGCACTGCGCTGAGATTCTTCGGACTTACGCTTGAGTCAAAAGTAGAACGGAGCACTTATGGGTTACTACCCTTGTTCTCTGATGTTGATCCATCGTCTAAACCTATCGGGAATATAATTTTACTCATATTGGCACTCACTCAGTGCTGTAGTCAACAAAGAAATAATTTTTTCCCCCTAATCTGCCCGGTATGGATTTGAATCAAAGAGTTTTAACTTTGACCTATTTTATTTCATCTTAGCCTTTTCCAATTCTCTGCTAAATTGTCATTTACTGACATCCTGTCCACCCATGGAGTCCACATTTGCTGACATCCTGTCCGCCCCTGGAGTCCACATTTACTGACATCCTGTCTGCCCCTGGAGTCCACATTTACTGACATCCTGTCCGCCCCTGGAGTCCACATTTACCGACATCCTGTCCACCCATGGAGTCCACATTTACTGACATCCTGTCCACCCATGGAGTCCACATTTACTGACATCCTGTCCACCCATGGAGTCCACATTTGCTGACATCCTGTCCGCCCCTGGAGTCCACATTTACTGACATCCTGTCCGCCCCTGGAGTCCACATTTACTGACATCCTGTCCGCCCCTGGAGTCCACATTTACTGACATTCTGTCTGCCCCTGGAGTCCACATTTACTGACATCCTGTCCACCCCTGGAGTCCACATTTACTTACATCCTGTCCACCCCTGGAGTTCACAGTGCCAGTTCTCATGATCTGTGTAAGAGTATTCCTTTATTCAGTGTGTAGGACTGATTACAAACTAAAAAAATGTGTAGCTGATAAATATTCTCATAATTTATTCTGCAGATACCGCATTGGACTGGCTGAAGTGCAAGTGCTGATGGGAAGGCTCAATGACAACTGGCGCCATGCGTACCCAAGGGGAACAAGCCACATGCATATTGTGGACAGGTTCAGCATTAACGTACAACTGGACAGGTCATCATTAGTTTTTGTTTCTCCCGTTTATCAGAATACTTTTGTCTGTTGCACCAGTTTTAATTTATGTGTGTCTATTGTCAAATATGTTCAAATCAGTGAAAGACAGCTCAACTTTGATGTTTTCCCCCATCTCAGTTGTCCATGTTTAAGTTTATTAGTCCCAGAAAATTTGTCAAGCAAATGTCCAAAGTGGCAGCCAGTGATAAAATCAAGGGTGCATTGTTTTCAAAGAGTTTATATACAGAATGACACTGGCCAGTGAGAAAACCAGATTTTTTTGGTTTGATCAAAGGCAACAAGTTGAAGAACATACAACTCAATGACTGAAATCCAGGAGTTGAGCCATTAACAACATCATGTTTTGCTTGGGAATGAAAGAGTTAAACAACATAAAAACCACACTGGATGGACAAGACAAAGGCCGGCAAGTAAGATGGAGACAGTGATATGAATGTTGAATTAAGAATTGACATCACAGCACTTGGGACACTCCCATAAGTGCTCCGTCCCTATCTTTAGCAGCAAGCAAAGAGTTCCAATTCCGATGGCACCAGTACCATTGTATATTCATCTCATCCTTCCTCTAAGTGTTGAGCGTCGGCCATATCCCCTGCTAACCTCATAAGCGCCATTCTCCTCAGATCGTCATGATCTATCTGCGCCTCCGCACTGTTCACTCATTCCCAAAGGGCTACAGTGATACAAGTTGGAAAACAACACCTGTCATAGTAAACGACCAGGGTGACACATAATGAGTGATGGAGATCAAATGTAGTCATATTCAAGTGATAGCAAGCCTATGTGTTTGTTAAGAAGCCTCCTGATCATTTTATTGCACAGGTGTCTTGTGTCAAACTCTTCAGATCTATGTATATTAAATTAACCCTGTCTGCCCAAGAAGCTGCAAAACCAATCATTCCCCTAAATATCACTTTTCCTACTTGCCTTTAAGGACCTGTTTGCTAGACATTTAGTTAGTGCTGTTGGCTGTGTTTATGCCTGCACAAATGTTTGTGATGTCAGGATGTGAATTTATCAACTAAAAATAGCGTTTGGGAAGGGAGGAGGGGTTCCTTGAAAAATAATTTTAAAAAAATATAAGGCCAAGTTGACATCAAATTTTCTCATCAACCTCAGTGATAGAGGTGACAGGGTCATCTAGCGCATATACTTTTTTATACCCTGCAACAAGTGTTCTGTTTATCAATTAATGCTGTTCCTGTTTATCGATTACTCCTTTTAGTTGTGTAGGAAAATTGATGTAGAAATTAGTAAATAAAAGACTAATGTGGTTCTTGGAGACTAACTCGGTAATCGCCACCACACAGACAGGATACAGGCAGCACAGAAACACAGAGGACCAGTTGTCATATCTGGCACAGGAAATTGAGAATGCCTTCCAAGAAAAAAAGAAAGTCCTTGCTGTCTTCTTTGACCTCTCTCATGCTTTCGATACAGTTTGGAAAGAAGGCCTACAACGAAAACTGCTACAGGCAGGAGTTGTGCACAACATGTACAAGTGGATCAAAGATTTTCTTTTCCAACGCAGAGCCAGATTCAGAATTGATGGACACATCGGCAAACTGGCAAAACTAAGAAGGAGTTCCCCAGGAAAGTGCGATAGCACCAACTTTGTTCCTGGTTTACATAAATGATATCACAGCAACCTGCCACCATCACGTTTCTAATACCCTACATGCCGATGACTTTGCAGTTTGGACAGCCTCCGAATACACTACCACAGCCTCATATCTGTTACAGAAAACTGGAAAATGTAGACGCCTGGACCGAAAACGGGGTCTAAAGCTAAATAATTTAAAAAGCACAGCATCACTTTTCTCTCTCTCCCCCCAAAAAAAGAAAAAAAAATCAAAATCTGGATAAAAAACCAGCTTATTTCACAGACTGACACTCCTACCTTTCTTTTTGTTACACTTGATTCACGACTAACTTGGAAGTCACACGTAGAAGCAGTACAGGGGAAAGCATTCAAGAAGCTTGCAGTGATGAAAAAATTAGCGGGTACCACATGGGGCGCTAATTCCAGAATCCTGAAACAAGTATATACTGGAGCAGTCAGGCCAGTCAAGGAATATGCCTCCACTGCATGGGCTGCAGCAGCCAAGACAACAATGGGGAAACTGGACAAGGTTCAGAATATGGGATTAAGGATTGTTCTCGGAGCCATGAAAACCACCCCCATCAGAGAGATAGAGAGGATAGCAGATACTGAACCACTCGAACTCAGAAGACAATACAAAACTCTTTTACAGTATGAGAAATTAAAAAGACTTCAAAGTCACCCACTGCATTTTAAATTTCAAGAGAGAACAAAAAACCGACTGAAGCGTCAGAGCCCCAACCACCTTGCTAGAGAACTGTACAGACAGCACCAAGATCTGCTTGAAAAAGATGTTGCATTGTGCGAAAAACTTAGGCCAGAACCATGGACAAGCAAGCCAGGGAAGGCAAATGTAATCCTAAAGGTACCAGGAATCGCTTCAAAAGATGCCCAGACGGAGACACAACAGAGAACCCTGGCTCTTGCTATGCTTGATAAGAAGTATCCCAACACCACTTGGACCCAGGTTTTCACCGACGGCTCTGCTACGGATGCAGTCAGAAAGGGGGGCTGTGAAATATACATTAAACCCTCTAGCAGTAGAGCAGAAACGCTCTCTCTACCAGCAGGTGACATCTTTACTAACTTCAGAGCTGAGGCAACTGCCCTCCTTTCTGCAGTCCAACATCTCATCACTCAAGAACACAGAGGGAACAAAATTTTAATACTTAGTGACTCATTTTCTGTTCTCCAAGCACTATCAAGCAAAAGACAAGACAAACTAATTGCAGATCTAAGGACCAACATTGGCTCACTCTCCAAGGAAGCAGAACTGGTCTTGCAGTGGATACCAGCCCACTGTGGTATTCAAGGAAATGAGAGAGCAAATGAGTTGGCAAAAGCTGGGAGTAATCTTCCACAACCTCATCCACCACACAGCTACAAAGAAACCAAAACAGCGCTAAAGCAGTCTTTCAAGCGGGAGCGGAGAAGGCAGAACGGAGATTACAGACCAGAGAGTGACAGCATAAACAAACTCAACAGGAAAGAACAAACCTCACTTTTTAGACTTCGGACAGGACACTGTGGTCTTCGAGCACACCTTTACAGGATAGGCATCAAAGAATCTGCTGCCTGTGGTTGTGGAGCAGAAAGACAGACCCCTGAGCACAAACTACAGTACTGTCCTAACCTCTCCCAGCAAAGACTGTGGATCTGGCCCAAGGGAGCCACATTGCAAGAGAAGCTATGGGAGACTGGTGGCGACCTCAAACGCACAATCCTATTTGTGACCCAGACGGGACTCAATGTTTAGCATGACTGATGTTGAACGCAGAAGAAGAAGAAGAAGAAAAGATTACTCCTTTAATTCATTCAGTAGCATGTCCCTCGCGGAACCTCGCTGCCATAACAACCCTCCGGAAAACCTTCCTATCCTGAGCAAGATGTCCTGCGTCTGATACACCCATCTGGAGATCATCTGCCACATCCTGCACCCATCTTCTCCTTGGCCTTCCTCTTCCTCTCTTCCCAGGCATATACCCCTCCATTATTGTTCTCTCTAGACTTCCATGACGTTTCAAGTGACCAAAATATTTCAATTTTCTTTGTTTTATTGTCTTTACTAGCCAACCCTCTTCAATATTAAGCTCTTGAAGTATGGATGCATTTGTTCTTTTCTTTACCCAAGATATTCTTAGAACCTGTCTGTAACATTTATATTCAAATGCATTTATGCGCTGTTCCGCTTGTTTAGTAAGTGTCCAGGTACTCCTTTAATACATCTTTATATATTTATTAAAAAAAAAAAAAAAACATTTAAAAATGTACATAAATGAATTTTTAAAACTTTTTTAGCTGTGTAAGATTCTTGTTTTTAAAGAATTATTTTGAGAATTCCTGTGGCGTCATGACCCATTTTCTGAAGTATTACAGGGGTGAAAGCTGCTAGATGCTTGCCTGCCAACCCAAATGTCTAGTGTTCAAATCCATACTGAGATGTATTTTCAAAATTGATTTGGACTCTGAGGTTGACCCAGCCTGAAATGAGTACACAGGAATGTCCTAGAATGTAAAGGTGTCCAGTTTGATGCTGACCACATCACCCAGCGACTGGTCTATAAAATATAGTTTTAGAACTATATGCCAGATGCACCAAAATGTGAAAAGAGTCCTTATGTTACATACATTATTAGGAGCTGTATCAGCACAATGGCTAGCTTGCTTACTTGCCAGCTGGAGGTAATAAGTTCAAATCCCCTTTGAGGCAGGGATTCTTTTAATTGATCTTGTCTCTCAGGTCAACCCAGCTTAAAATGGACACAAGGAAGTTTCTGGAGAAGTAGAGTTGTGAAGGCTGATTGGTCAGAAACCTTTGGGGCTAGAACTGTTTGCTCAAATACACCTCATGGCATGAACAGTGCTCTTTCCTTGTTTAGTTTTTAAATTATTAATGTTGCCTTGATCAGTCTAGCATGCCTGTTTTATATTTGTGTACGTCCCTTGTTATTCTTCAGAGAATACTTTAAATTCTCCTTATGTTCAATATAGTTTCCTTATGAGGGTTTCGTGACCCCATTTAGAAGGGTTACAAAATAAAAAGATCCACCAGCACTCTGATAAAAATGTTGTGAAAGACTAATTGGAAATTTGCTGTAATCTAATGTGTTGTGTAGTTGCAGATACTGCAGTCTAGCTGTAAATCACAACACAACGTGCTAACCGCAAGGGCAGACACAGAGGAATAAGAATAGTAATTTGCGAAATTATTTAGTGCTAGATGTGTTATTAAATAAATTGTATGTTTCAATTTTTGTTTCAGGAGGCTGATTGTAACATCAGATATTCAGTGGCCTACAGCAAAAATCTCTGGAGTCTTGCCATCACTGACTTTTCATCTGAATGAAAGAAAGGTAAATTAAGAACATCAGCATCATCAAGTGCCATCACTAACTTTTCATCTAAATAAAAGGAGAAAGCCAAATTAATTGCATTTCCATTATCATCATTAAGCACATTGCTTCCTGGCCTTGGTGATTCTGCTTTTCCACATAGTGTGATCTCCAACAACGTGCATTAATTCATCTGCTGACAGCTCTCTGTGCCTTGACCAAGCCTACCAAGAAGTTGTCTTCCTCCAACTAACGTTTCTTAAATATTTTTATTGTCTTCCAAAACATCTACAGGGTGGGTTAGATTGATGGGGCACATTTCACATGCATACCTGGAGCATGTAGGAAACAACATTTATAAAATACACGGAAAACACTGCCAAAGGACGTGAGTTTTTCAGTGTGTTCAGTGTTTGAGGATTACATCCGTGAGACGGACACCACCGTGACGAGAATTTTCTTTGTCTCTTACACTCATGTTTAGCATAGTTTTGTGAAGGGTTTTGGCTGGGATCGTCGCTATTTCCCTTTGGATATTGTCCTGCAGTTCATTTGTGATTCTGGGCAATGAGAGAAGCATGAAAAAAAAAAAAAGGCTGGTTTGACCTGGCAGCAAAATGCAATTTACAAACAAATCTGCCTCGATGAGGATTTGAATCCTTGATTTTTGGGCTGCCACACCAATCAAACCACTATACTTCTGTAGCTCCCCAATCACTTCATTCAAAATATACAGAAAGAATACAAGGAAAAGTAGGTATGTGAAGTTGTAGAACAACACCTTTAATAGGTTACAGCCAAAACAAGCAATCAACATGGTGGGTCATACTGCTGGGACACATTTATCTTTATATTACTGCGAGCAATAACCGTTGTTCATGTTTTAGATATAGCTTAATAGGAAGTGTAAGGATGGGTGTTGCTGTTTTGGGTACCAGGCATTTTCCTGGGAAGTAAAGGCAGCCAGCAGGATTTTGACCACATCACCCACCGAGTGCTGATTGGTCTATAAAAATATAGGTTTAGCATTATGTATGCCTAGTGTGGTGAGAAGGGTATTCTAATGAAAGGATTGTGTTTTTCTGTCCTTTTTCTAGATACAGATCTTACAGAAATGCCTGGATAAATTATCAGAGTCCAAAACTACAGGCTATTCCCAGTCTCCGTTTCAGAAAAGCACAGGGTCATCCTTCGACAGCGGTTCGGGAACCATCTTTCCGGAACATTCCAGCTTTGACCAGTATGTAGTGTATCTCTTTACTGCAAGTTGTATTACTCAAGAATACTTTGAAAAAAATTTTTTTTTACTGAAGTGATTGTTTCATGGTTGTAGAAACATCCAAGAATCAGAGTAGAACTCAAGAGACAGTTGATCAGTGGCATACCCATTTCTCTACAAACACCCAAGAGACAATCGATCAGTGGCTTATTCAAGGGGGCCTCTGTAACATTGTAGCTAGATGCTTGCTTCCCAGACCGAATGTTTTGAGTTCACATCTGCATTTTGGATTTTTCAAAACCGACTTGACTCCTAGGTCAGCCGCAGGCTAAAATGGTTACCAGGTAATTTCCTGGGAAGTAAAGGTGGCCACCCGGCGTGATGTTGACCACCTTACCCGCCAAGTGCAGAATGGTTGATAAAATATGATTCTAGCATGATATGCCAGCTGCACTACTAGTGTAAAAAGGGTCCCTAATATTTTTTTACTTGATCCATTGTCATTAATGCCCGTCATGGTCACTCACTCGAGCAGAAGAGATGAAGTTCACAGCATGAGAGATGAGATGCCTGCGAGGTTATCACTGGAACCAGAAGAGGCACTCTAAGACTCAGTAATATCAGAGACATGTAGGAGCACAGTCTGAGAATCTGTAATATCAGAGACATGTAGGAGCACAGTCTAAGAATCAGTAATATCAGAGACATGTGGAAGCACAGTTTAAGAATCAGTAATATCAGAGACATTTAGGAGCACAGTCTAAGAATCAGTAATATCATAGAGATGTAGAAGCACAGTATGAGAATCAGTAATATCAGAGAGATGTAGAAGCACAGTATGAGAACCAGTAATATCAGAGATGTGTAGGAGCACAGTCTGAAAATATGTAATATTAGAGATGTGTTGGAGCAGTCTGAGAATCAGTAATATCAGAGACATGTAGGAGCACAGTCTGAGAATATGTAATATCAGAGACGTAAAGGATCACAGTCTGAGAATTTGTAATGATTTTTGTACCCACAAGCGAGCATCTAGCTGCTATACCGTGATGGCTGTTTCAGTTTTCTTACACTTTAGACAAATTGTTCTAATGAGGTAACTTTTAATTCATATGAAGTCACTGCTTATCAGTCTGCCTGTTTGATTTCTCCTGTAGTTCTGGCTCCATGACTGGGTCAGTGAAGGACATGAATGAGGACAACAAGATGGTGGTTTTACAGTTCCTCATCAGTAGTTTATCTTTGGAAGTCCAGAGTCAAGGTAATTTATTATATATATGCCTTCTCTTTGTCAGTACTGGGGCAGAGAAAGAACATTGCCTCTTTTATTACCAACACATTATCTCCTTATGTGAAGGTGAATATAACTGAGTTTACCGTGATACTTTTCTATGGAAGTATAGTTTTAGAGACTCATCATGAACACAAATTTAATTTGCAATGTAGTTAAAGTTAGTTGCATATCCTTTACAGGATGTTGCAGAACCAACCCCAGCATTTTTTAGCTGTTGTGGTTTTTCCTAGGCAAATTTACATCAAGTAGTTTGCCATTGCTTTCTGGAGGGTCGGCTTCTCGATACCACTGTCGAAACCAGCACAAGGCCTGCAGCTGGGATTAAACCCGGCACCCCGGCATTATGAAGTACATTTGCAGCGCCCAAGCCACAGCAATATAGTACTTTCCACATTGACATACAGGTATCAGTTAGACTGGAAATTTGAATATAGATTACCTATATGGTTTATAGGGCCCCAGTTTTGGGAGGAAATAACAAGAAAATACCAGCTGCCCGCCTAACAAGCATATCCTAAAAGTAACTAGTTTGGGGATGTTTCCTTCAGAGTCAAGAGTGCATCTGCCTGAGAGGCAAGGAACAAACAGTCTGCACTCAAATAAGCCAGTTCTGTGAAACGCATATGCATGCAAAACTCACATGGAACAAGACTAAGGTCAAGAAATGCATGAACAACCAGAACTTTCCACATAAGTTTATAGCTGGAGAACACGAAGAAGAAGAAGAATACAAACGAGTCTGTGTGTAGCCTGTCACATTACAAAAACTCATGAGAATATAACATGTTTTGAAATGAGGTAACCCCGCCCTTTTTTTTTTGCTAGCTCCCTGCGCTTTGGAAGATACATATAAGCTGCAAAACTTGATTTGATTATATTATTCTTAAACAATATTGGTTGGATCAAAAACAGTAAAAGAAATGTCAGTTTTACATTGTTTATTAAAGTAGTACAATGAATGTTTCTTTGTTTATTGTTTTTTATCAATGTATAATCAGTGGATTTGGATTTGACCACAGGGCAAGCTCTGATAGAGCTTCAGGTCACTGGGGTCAAGGCTGATGTTCACACAAAACCGTTCGTCACCTCTGTGATCCTCACTGTACACAGTCTTCTGCTAGTTGATGCACTTCAGACGTATGGGCCGGACTTTGAGCTTCTGGTGGCATCACACAAGAATGTCATGTGAGTTTTTATATGGCATTTATTTGTTTTGTTAGTCTTATTTTTGAGATGAGAAAGAGAATTTCTAAAAGCTATAAAAATCCTATATTGATAAATGGGCGAGACAGTTAATAAAATAGTGAAAACATTTTTGGAAGCTGGCGACTGATGAGAATACCTAAATGGAGGTATTTGTGAATGGAACAGGACTAAAGTTAAGAAGTGGATGAACAACCAGAACTTTCCACAGGAGTTAATAAGTGTGTGTAGTAATTGTAGTAGTAGTATATGTTGATGGTTGAGTATTGAAGCATGGGTGGATTTATTTATGGAAGAATAAGTATGTATGAATGAGTGGTTGCATCAGTGTATAGTGGGTGTAGTCATATGGAAGGATAGATATCTATGAATTTGTAAATGTGTTTATGAAAGGGGTTTTATCTCTGTGAATGTAGGTATGCATCCTTGATTGGGTATAAATTCTGACTGTTAAAGCCCACACATATTATTCTTCTCTAACATTTTATGTCATAAAATATTCATTGACCTTTTACAGAAGACCTTGTCTAGTAACGTTTTGTGCCATACCATCTTGACATCTTTGCTAACGTGCCATCTACACAACTTTACTGACATCCTTATGTATATCATAACATCTTGACATCTTTGTTGACATCTCATATCATGGTATCTTTACATCTATACTGATATTTCATGTCATTACATGTTTGCTGACATTTCATGTTATACACTTGACATCTTTACTGGCATTTCGTCTTGAAATATTTGCTCCTTATCAGTGTTAAAACAGATTAAAAGCAAAATCTGAAGAAATACTAGCGGAAGAACAAGCGGGATTCCGGAAAAATAGAAGCACTAGAGGAAAAAATCTTTAACATCAGAAAAATGGTAGAAAAACACTTACATCAACATAATCTATTGGATAACTTCATTGACTTCACAAAGGCATTGGATCATGTGTGGCATGCTGGACTGGGGCGAATAATGATACATTTCAATTTCGATAACAACATCAAAGACACCTTTGAAGCACTTCATAAAGATGCAATCAGTGCAGTTAGTTAGTTAGTCTTTCCTCTTGTGTCGAGTGCAGCACATAGGGCAGAGGTCATGACTCTCCATGCATGGCGGTTCGTTGCAATCTGTTGTAGGTCTTGGAAGTTTGAGTGGCCCATGAGCGAGCCTTCCCTGATGATAGTTCTACGTAGAGTTTCCCTTGGTCTTCCTCGAGATCTTTTCCCCTGTGGTGTCCAAATGAGGGCTTGGTAAGGAAGTCTTGATTTATCCATTCTAAGGGCGTGGCCGACATAGTTCCAGTGCAGTACTTAAGACATTAAAAATGACGTAGACAAATTTTTCAAAACCAGTGTGGGAGTGAGACAGGGTTGCATACTAGCCCCTGTCCTTTTCATTGTGTATTTGGAACACAAAATGAGAGAAACAATAGAAAATCATGAAACATCTATATCAATTGGCGGAAGACAACTATGTAATTTACGTTCTGCTGACGATGTTAATCTCATGGCTGGTTCTGAAGCAGAACTCCAAGAACCTATTACAAAACTAGAGACAGTCTGTGCTAAATATGGCATGGAAATTAATGCCTAGAAAAGCAAGATTCTTGTAAATAGTTACAATAGTCAAGTACCTACCAACATACAGATAAAAAGAAAAAAAAAAACTAGAAGACGAAACCTTTAAATATCTCGGCACTCACAGTGGCAGCTATTACTCCCAGAGAGATTAAGACAAGGCTTTATATGGCAACAGCCCTGATGTCGCAGCTGAATACGATGTGGAATAGCAAAATCAGCATCACAGTTAAGGTCTAAATATACAAATGACTGGTATTGTCTGTTTTCTTGTACGGATGTGAGAGTTGGACTCTCACTGTGGAAAATGGAAAGGAGGATTCAGGTTTTCGAATGTAAATGTTACAGACATGTTTTATGAATTAGTTATTTAGAACACAAAACTAACAAATATGTCAGAGACAAAATAGACAGATTTGCAGAAAATCAGGAGCCTGTCTCCCTAATGGTTTGGGCACGTGGGGAGACATGATTTGATTGCAAAGACTGTACTTAAAGGAACATTGGGGGGTAGTCGAAGAAGAGGAGGGCAAAGAAGAACCTGGAATGACAATAATCAAGAAATGGACAGGACAGAATTATCATACACTTATTCATCAAGCGGAAGATCGAGAAAGATGGCGGGTTTTTTATGTGCTAGTGCTTTAATTGATGCACCTCCACGACCCTAAGGGGTCAAGGGTCATGTTATGTTATCAGTGTTATGACATCTTATCTCTAACATTATTTGTCACAACATAATCCCCATTAACAATGACAGAATATTACCTTTTAATATTTTTCTAAATGTTTTGTGTATGTGTTTGGTGCAAACAATTGCACATTGTTCCTTAATTTACAGATTGGATAGCCGGAGTGGGAGCATCAAAGGTTCAGAGTTCAACTCCCCCACATCACCGCTGTCCCCCTCATCTCCAGCTTCTCCAGGGTCGCCCATACCAGAACTGTCA